AATGGTTTGCATTGTAATACTTTGTTGGTTAGTGAAATGCCAACTTAAGTGATCAGGAATGCAGTGTTGTATGCTGTAGCTTTTTGTAGATTGTGGTACTATTTCATTGGTAAGAGTTGGCTGTAGTAAAAGTTGGCTATTAGTTACTTACTGGCTTGTGTTTTTAAAGAGTAAAGATTTCTGCTGTAAAATCCTACAAAATGAGCAATTTCCAACTGTGACAAGAAAAGGTGTTGGTGACTCAGGGCAGAGTAGAGCAGGGCTTTTCTACAATGATTTTGCTTTTGTAGAAAACCAATAGAAAACATCCTTCTCAGGGGTAAAACTAACAAAAGTGAATATGCATGTGACAATCTTCTTGTGAACTCATGTGTCGCTGACAGAGAGAGATGCAACTTAATCTAAATTCAGTTTAAATAAAATTTTCTTAAGAAATTGGCATTAGAATTGTTTTTTTTTTTAAATTCAGCCTCTTTGTTCTTTTATCTCCGATATGTTTTTAATTGTCAGGTTTTGTTTAAGCACTGATTTAAGAATGGGGAATGAAGTAACCCACTACTGGTGAAGGGCTGGTGCAGATAGTAGTTAGAGAAAAAGGAAAAGTAACTTTAGTGACCTCTAGTGAGGTGTAACTTCAGTGACCTCAATTCCTAGGGTGTGATAGCTAATGCTAATGCACTCATAGAGGGACCTGAGACATGTGTTAATAATTAATCCTGAACTATGACCAGTCTAGAAATCTTTCACCTAAGACTCTAAAAGGGAAGAAGGTGAATATGGGTTTGCTGATTAAACAAACTAATGTGGAAGGGGAGGCTAACCTAGAATGTCCCAGTGGACATGGATCATGTACAGTACATCAGATTGTAGAGGATGGAAGCTGTTCAGCTGGCTGCACTTCTTCCATCCCTGGGCAGAACTGGGGAGCTGGGGATGGAACCTGGGACAGGCAGCTTATTCCAGAATCTGCTTTATGTGACACATAAACTGCTTTTATTGTAGTATTTCTTAATGCTCTGTCAGCAGTCTTGCTTTGAATCATGAGTGTCCTTGGCACTAGATTAACATAGGGCACATGAATCCCTGAACCTGCCTGACAGCTGCACTGAGGCAGCAGTGGTTTTTATGCTAAAATATGAAATACATTAAACTTGCTCCTATTTAGCAATTAGAATGTAACATCTTTTGGTATCTTCCCCCCCCCCCCCGATTTAGCAGTCTGAACTTGTCAAACCACAGATATGATTTTTATTTTTGTATTAATTATTTTTCAATCTAGCGGTACAGTTAAATGTAGAATAGGAAATCAGCTATGTTTGATGGTTTGTGCACTTTTTTCCACCTCTTTAAACTGGTGCACTTACCCACTGCTGAAGTCCAGATATGCAAACTCTAAAATAGGTTTCTTGAATAAAACTATTTCTATATTAATCTAGAAAAAAAGAATCAAACCCACTAATATCTCCAAATTAATGGGATAATTGCAGCACATATAATGCTTGACATGCCAGAAATGATTTGCAGCCCAGTCCTGCATTAGTTCAGACCAGCCCTGAGGTCAGTGCCCTAAGCTCCTGTCTCAAGGAAGGAATAATTAATTGGTGCTGTGCTGGACACTGCAGTCCCCAGATCTCCAACCCTGCTGATCCATTGTCTGTGGTGGTGTGACCTTTGTCTCTGGGCTTGTGCAAGGCAGGGCTGGCCATGTACTTCCTCATGCCAGAAACATTTCCCAAGGGGATGGATAATTGTACTTATAGTCTTGCAAAGTATAGTGACAGAATTTCTGATTTTTCATTTTCATCATCCTCAAGGTTGAAGTGAACTTCTGTGGATTAACCAGAGTTAGGAGATTCTCTGCAATTTGCTGCCTGAGAAGAGTTGTAGAATGTTCTGGTCCTCTGCTTCTTCAGCCATCCTGTCTCTCAGTATTGCCCCCATCTAGGACTTCTTATCTTTGTGTGTGGCATTCAGGAAATGCAATTTTGTACTTCCTCTTTCTCTTGCACCCATTAGCCTCAGTTTTTTACAGATATTAATCTCTGTGTGGAAAATGTTTTGTAACTTTTTTTTTTGAGCGTGGGAAGGAAAGGCAGTGGTCAGAACTATGTTCATAATTCAACCTATCAGACAATGTATATTTTGTAGTTAATTTTTCCCATCCAAAATAGCTAATTTTGTCTATTTTGGGCTAATTCTATTGTTCTTCTTTCATTTGTAAGGTGAAAATATAACAGGTGACTGAAGAAGGGGGGACATGAACTTGTTTCCTAGTGTTATCTAAATTGAGAGTTGAGTTATCCTGCCTTGGGCAAGGAGAACTTCCCTGTGCTTTACCATACCCACTGCCTGTGCCTGCTGGAGCCCTGCAGTGCCTCAAAACTCAGCAGGTCTGCAGGAGAGCAGAGGCTGGAGCTCTGCACAGCCCTGCTGCTGGTTTGACTCAGGGTTCTTTGCTGTGTGCAACAGAACTGTTCCCCCTGCAAGGCAAAGGACTGGATTTCTAATATGACACTGAAAAGTAGTGGGATTATGGGATCAGTGTGGGAACACTTGTGTTGGGGCTTATGGGCTTGTGTGCTGTGAACTGTGTATTTAAGACTGCTGATACTCTGAGCTGAGTAATGACACTTTTTATACAGATCTTTGAAAAATCAGATGCAAGTGTGCCCTTTAAAATTTCCCTTTAAGAAGTTGAGATTTGTTTATCATGGCAAGTATCTACTTATGTAGAGAGAAAGTGTTGATAATAAGCTGCTAAAGATGAAGCATTTGAAAATCTCTTCCATGATCCTAAACTTTTAGCATAAAAATTCTGGTAATGATTTCTCTGCTGCCATGAAAAATGGAAGCCAGGCTTGTTTTCTGAAAGATCCCTTTAAAAGAGGGATTTTCATGCTTAAAAAAGTTAAATATTTGGTTTCCCCCTTAACAGGGTCTGAAACTCTTTCTTTCAGTGGAGTTGAAGTAAAAATAATCAGCTGTGAATCGTGTTCTCTTTGCCTGTCTCCATGGCAGTGAAGTGAGTTAAATTGGGATGTCCATCTCAGTCCTTGTAACACTGCCATCCTTTGAAATGGGAGCTGTTTTAGTCCTCAGTGCTGGGATTCAGGCAGTGCTCAAACTCAGATTGTAGCTTCTGCTCTACCATGCAGTAGTTGGAGTACTCTGCAGGGTGTTAGAAAAAGAAGGGTCTAATGTCATTGAGACATATTTATAGTTTGTTTATTTTGTGCATGCAGAGAAGAAGATCAGTTTATAGGGTTGAGATTTTTTAATTTGTTTTTTTTTTTTTGGTTTTGTTCTTTTTTAAGATGTAGGAGATAAAAAGAAATTGAATTCTCCCTTGGAAGAGCAGAATTTGTTTCATGGAAATATTAACCATGCTTCAACATAAATCTCCTGTTGAATTTCTCAATTTAAGCAAATGATAAAGTAATCAAATTTAAAACTCCAGATGAACTGATGAGTCTCTGGATATCATATCTCTGTTTGCTAACACGCAACATGAAGAGTTTAAGAAGTTTGACTCTGCACACAGGTTGCATGTGAGAAAATACTTTTCACAGAAGAGCTGTACAAGATATTTATGGTCTCCAAAGAAGGGAAAATATAGTCCACAATTCAAGGAACTTTAGTTAGTAAACAAAGTTTATTACAAAATATGCAACAATGGAATAATGAAGCATAATAAGTGTTAGATACTTTTCCCAGAAGCTGTACTGGTCTTGCATGCAAGGTGATATACAGAGCTCTCATAAGATTTTTCTGGCATGTACTTTTTTCTTCTTTGTTTCCCTTAGCACAGGAAAACATCCATTAGTGATTCTAATCATGAACCTGTTGTGTTCTCTTCCTCCTTAACCTGCCCTAATGAGTTGAAATTGCTTGCTTTTTAAATGCAAGACTTCAGAGAAACTGATTGGATTTTAACAGCATTCACTGAGAAAATGTCTTGAGGATAGATTCCATTAAATTTAATTGCTGCCTCTCTTACTCTCACTTTGTTAGAGCGTTGTGTGACTTGGGAAAAACAATTTGAGTGTGTGCTGTGTTCTAAGCTGTTGTTGAGACTTGAATGGAAAATATCAGATGTCTGTCTATTGGGAACTTGACCTGCAAATAAAATATTTGGAATGTGTACATTGATTTGTGTAGTAATGACAGGAAGCCCCTTGTGTATGAAGGGGCTCAGTAGGATGATCCAGATTTGAACATTTCTTCTATTGCTGCAAGTGCATGGTCTGGTAGTGATTAATGTCAGTATCCATTGGAGGCCTCTTCCTAACCCTGCAATGCTTGAAAGAAACACATTTGGTGAATTGTCCAATCTGACATCACAAAGCAGACATACTCTCCAAGTGTTCTCACTCAGTTCAGTGATAATCTGTTTTGTTGGTTGTCAGTGAAATAAGGTATTGTGAGTTTATTTTAGGAACAGCAGTAAAAACTGAGATCCAGATTTTGCTGAAATACTGAAGAGTAAATTAGAGTTTCTTCTTTGCAGTAGTGGGCAACATAAAAAAAAAGAATTTTTATTACTGAATATTTATGTAGTAATCTCCTCATATCTAGAGCAAGACTTGTTTATATGAAGTTACTGTGTGAGGTTTTGGCACTGGTGAAGGGAAGGACAATGGTGATGTTGTAAATGCTGATATTTAGCACAGCAAGGACCTCAACTGATTGGTGATACAGTAATCTGGTTCATGAGAGACCTTTTATAATGCCAATAATAACTGGCTAGACTTTGACTGGTTTCATGGGCACTGTCAGAAGCTGAACCCTCAGTGCTGCTCCTACTGTTTAAATCTTTTTTTATTTAGGTATGGGAGACCTTTTGATTAGTTAGAGACTTTAAATCTTTTCCTGCTCTGCTGTAAAACACATCTTCTGGCAAGAAATTATTTGTGACATACAGAACTGAGCAGGAAAGATTTATAAAATGGATTCTAAAAGAGGTCACTGCCATTAATTTAAATTTGTTTCTAACATTTCAGATTTTTCTTCTTGCCTGTCCCCCATGTCGGACTGCAATGATTCTCTTCAGGTATTATCTCTTCCTTACTGTATTTCTGTCCACTTGTACAATGCATTTCAGAAGTTAATTTATAAAATATGAAGGCATATTGGCTGGATTGAAAAATGACATTTTGAAAAGGTCAGGGCTTAAATCAGGGTGTTGGGCCCCTTCTCCTTGCTTCTTGTGTGTTGGTGGGATTGACCTTGCTGATAAACAGGAATTAGCTCAGTAACAGTGGATTAATGCAGATTAATGTATGAGCTACTATAATTTGTGTCATTTTTACCATCCTCAGTAGAAATTGTAACTGGGCCTTGCTGGAAGCTGTGCAGGCAGTCTGGGTCTGATTTCAGAATTGTGGATAGGTAAAGTTAAATAGGCAAAGCAAATTCTCTCTGGCTTGGTTGGGTATTTCTCAGATCTGTGCAGTCTTTTCTAAAAGCCTGCCTGTTGTTACTAACTTCTGCAGCAGCAGAGCCCAGGGTGCAGCTGAGGGTGCAGCCAGGGTGTTGAGGGGAGGGTCAGGGATTTCCTGGGCACTGGTTCTTGGCACTGGCTGGAGCTGCCACCGTGGCATTAAACTCTGCTCTTCCTTGTCTTAGTCCAGGCAAAAATGGTGCTGGGGGAATGCCTTAGACAGTCCTCCTGCACCTTTTCCCTGCTGTTCCTTATTTCTGCAGGGATTATGCTGAACAAAGACTCTGCATTAGCATCTCTGTCCTGGAGAGTATGAAAAGTATGTTCCCTGTCCAGGAAGTATTTGCTAAAGACCAGTTGTAAAGCAAAGGCCACAATATTTGTTGTTTTTCAGAGTGGGTATATCTATTTTCTAACACCCTGACAGCATATAAATTATATTTGAAAATCTGTTTTAAAACTGTAGTACCTTTTCCTCCCTCAAGTTACTTTTAAATTCCTAGGAGTTTGAAAGACAGTGGTGGGAGACAGTTTATTCTTTAGTTTGTGTCTGATGTAAATAGACTGAAACAGTTCTGATACCAATTTTCTGTTCCTGTGATCCAACAGTAGTTCAGAAAAAAGATGGCTGAAAACCATAGAAATTATGGAGTATAATACTTTCCTGCATTATGCTTTGCTTAGGACTTGCTGTTGCATTTTGATAAATGTAATTATTTTATTTAAGGGACTTCTTTCAAATTCTTAACGCTTCTTTGAAGCTGTGCATGCACAGCATTAAAGAGGAGTAAAACCCTTTATCAGAGATGCTATATTAAGCTCTGCAAGACAAATGAACAGCAGAATTCCAACTATTTAGCAGCTTGCATCATGAACAGGATTATGGGCAGCCCAGGCTTTCTAGGAATCCAAAGCTCATTATAGAAAGCAGTCCTACTTTAGGAAATTCTTTAAGTGTGTATTTAAAGATAGAGTTTTGTCCAGTTTTATTGCATTTAACAATGACTTAATTAAAATTCAAGCCTAAATAATTTTTTAAGTGTCTTGCTCTTTTATTGAAGAGATACTACATAAAAGACATGAAAATATTATTATTTCATTTTATTTCCATGTGTGAAAATAATATCTCATCTCTTTTCTAAGGTTGCAGATGCATATGCTGAATGGGGCCCTCTTAGCATTGCTGTTTCCTGTGGTTAATACACGCCTGGTGAGTGTACTGTGGGTTTCCTTCTCCTTTTGATTCCTTTCTAAAAGGTTATCTTTGGAGAGATGTCAGATGTTTGCTTTGCTTGGCCTTTTAAAGTTCATTTTACCAGGCTGTAGACTCCTGGTCACTACAGTGGAGCCAAAATAGCAATCTTGGATTTTGGGATGTTTATAACATGGTATGAGAAGAGAGCACTGCTGTATTGAGTGCTAGCTCCATTCTAGCCACTAATGGAGGGAAAACTTGATGGCTTTGAAAGAGGCTTTCACAGGTTAGCCTTGTGGCCTGTGGTCAAAATTCCATTTCAGACATTTCAAGCTCTGTAAATGTAAGATTCCTCAGGCTGGAAAATGCCAAATGTTGTTGTTGGCTGTCATTCCCTCTCCCCCAAGATTAGGCACAGCAGATTTTTTTTTCACATACAAGTTTTCAAATCTGTTGTAAAACTTCAGTCTCCTGGACAAAAAAATTAGCCTGTTGGTGTTCCTAGTGAGATTCTTAAACCTATTGAGATTTAAAGGTAAAAAAAAGCTATTTTGAGTGTGAGTTGAATGAAGTAGTTTTGAGGATTATTTTAAGAGCTGTTCTCCATGCATATGTAGAGGGGGTGTATATGTATGTATGACTACATACTTCTAATTTTTTTCATATGATTTATCTGCAAAAATCTGTTGTTGCAGCTATTTTAATGTCTGTTTTAAGACAGATATGAGTACTTTAAATTTAAGCAAACTACATCCATAATAAAGGGTGAACTAATATTATTACCAAAATGGTTGTGGGCTTCAGACTCCATTTCAGATATTGTTGGTTGATCTCCACTTGCAAGTCTTGACTGTCTAAATAAGATGGAGTATAAACTTATGCTTATGTGCAGTTTGCAATTACATTTTATTAAAACTTGATACCATTGAAGAGGCAACAAATTAATAAAACAAATGTTCTTTTCCTGATAAGGAAAACTCTTATTTTATATTTAAAGCCATCTAGTTTTTAAGTATATATAATCTTAGGCATGACAAAATTGGTCTGGGTAACCTTTGAAAGAAAAGATGCTGAAGTATTTAATAAATTATCAGCTTGTATTTTCTCTGCCATTATCACAGATCTCATTTATATTAGGGCAGTGGTGATTAAACAAGAAAGATACAGACTACTTATAAAATTGTTCCTGTAATTTGGAACAGAGTAGCCAAAAGATACTGTCCAAAAGTAAATATTTTTGGAATAATTACAACTTAAGATATTTTTGGCCTAACTGCTGCTTGCCAGGCTTTTCACTTTTCCATGTTTCTTCTGGCACAGGATATGTGGGTGATGTTGTACAGCACTGCCTTGATCCAGACTCTCTCATGGCAGACACACATTCTGCTCCACAACTCTCACTGTGGTTTTAACACCAACATTGTCCTGAAACAGGAAATGTCTCCTAAAACCTACTGGGAATTAAAAAATCTCTTTTTCTAAGCTGGCTGCTCTGGTTTTTTAACACCTAAGTGAAAAACTTTTGATTCAGTCATTCAGAATGAGAGACAATCATTGCTTCAGCAGATGATGGATGTTTCAGTGGGTATCAGGATTTGGGTTGTGTTGATTTGTTCAAAGTAATTTCCAGAACACCTCTTACATTTTGTGGCAGAGTCTGTTAGGGTCATGTGTTTTTGCTAGCAATTACATTACTTAATGAAATGCAAATATATTTTTGGAAATATGCTTCACTGTTCAGTTATCCTGAAGTGGAACTTCTGGCAGAATTTAATGGTTTCCATTTTCTTCTAATGTATCTCTTAATTTTTTTTGTTGTTTTTTTAGAACCTCAGTAATTTCAAAATTCTTTTAAAATAGTAGTGTATTGCCAATGAAAATGGAGATTTGACATATTCACTGAAACTACATTAGGAAGTTTCTACCTTCTTTTATTTTAATCTTTCAGTCAGACTATGCTAAATAATGCAGTTAAAAATCTTGTTAGACTATAACAGGCACCTGGGATGCTGTTCAAAAAATGTAGCCTGAAAGATGAGGTCAGTCTATTCTGTTCTTTCCAAGAAAATATTTTCCTGCCTTGGCATGAGGTTGAGGTGCCAACAGTTAACAGACTTAGGCAACAGATGCACCCACTTGTATTTGTTTGGCACCCAAACATTGCAGTTATTTGCTACATTATTTGCCATGTACTGATGAAATTAAACTCTGTGCTTTGGGATAGACATTGGATAAAAAGATAAAACTGTTTCTTGTCCAGTCAGTGCTTTTGTGAGTTCTTCTTATCCCTTCAGAAATAAAGGAGAAGAAGATGCTGAGGGAATTGGTTTGTTAAGCTCCCAAAAGGGATCCAGCAAGGTTTAAGAGGATACACCAGAGTAGAAAGATTTCTTTTTACTCTGTATTTATGTTCTATGGCACACAGTGTAGGTCCTGATAACCTGGCTGTGCATGTAAATTCATCTGACTGCCACAAAGATTCAGACTGTTTGGACAGTAACTGGGTCTGCTGGAGCTTTCATGTTGTATTAATCAAATTTTAAAGAAAGGTCTTTCCACTGGCTTAAAAATGGGGATTTTTTTGCAAGCTGATGTCCTGAAAATGTTCATATAGATAAAGTAAAAAACAGGACATGTCCCAAAAATGTTGGATACTTGGGTATCAGCTCACATGGCTGAGATGGTGCACTTGTAATGTTTCCAGAAGCTGCTGTATTCTATTATTAGAACTATTTGGCCTGAGAGATCCACATTCTAAACCTGTGTTAGGAGTAGAATCATACTCTGAGCAGGACTTTGAGTATTTTCTGTGTATGCTCCAATCATTGGCTGCTGTATTGCTGCTGATTGTTAGAGAAATAATTCACTGCACTCAATAGTTGGCCTGTAATGGCTGTGCCTGCACAGCAGAATGGAATAGGTTTGGTAGCACATTGTCATCTCTAAACTGGCTTAATCTGATTGACACAGGGAAAACAACAGGAGCAGTGGGGGCTCTGAGAGATGGTGGCTGGTAGGTGATAAAGCCAAAGTTTGTGCACATTTGGGCACATGTACATGCTGTGTGCATTAAAATGGTATGAGTGTGTCATTTACTGATAATGTCTAAGAAGGTGGCTGGTACAGTACAGTTTGGTGTTTTTTAGGCTGTTCTGGGTGTCCTACAGGAAAGACCAGAATCTGAGAGTTGAGTCCCTTCTATTCTTTTTCTGCCACACTCTGCAGTCTTTGTAGAGAATGATGGAGGAGGTGCTCTTGCACAGTGCAGTGCTTGAGGCAGGGTATAAATAATTAACAGAGAGTGGAGTGCTATTGTCAGAAACCAGAGCAAAGTGTCAGCCTGTGAGCCTACTGAAAACCAGCTGCTGTGTCTGAATGTTTAATCTAAATCTGTATTATGTCCATACTCTCTTGGGGTGAACTCAAAATATCTGACTTCTGAGCTCCACTCAACTGCTGCCTTGAAGAGATTTTTCTAAAGCTGAATTCAGTGCATGGAAAGATCTCATTGTGCTCTTTGGGCAGTAGCTGGTTTAAGTTAGAACATGAAGTCTTACTTGTTTTCACAAAGAGATTCTTGAAATCCTTGATTGATGGGCGATCCCTTGTGCCTTGTCTTCATTTCCAGTTTCTCCTCACATGTGAGAGGTGCTTATGCTTTTATTGATAAAACTGTTTGTAGACAAGGCACAAGATGCAGGTGAGTTAGTTGCTCAGTGCTTGCTTTTTGTGTTTGTTGTAGCCTGGCTGTACAACTTGAGTGCTTGGTTGTACAGCAGCTCTGCAGCTCTACAGCAGGAAATGCACTTGCAGAATCAGCCAGGCTTCAGAACAAGCCGTCTTTTACAGTGGGAAAAAGATGTTTTGTTTTACACACAAAAAAATACTGTCAGCACTACTGCAGCATAACAACTGTTACTCTGTTCTCAGGAGTGTCCCAGCACAGTGTTTGTGTAACAGATCCTCACAACTCCACGGCTGTGGAAGCCCTTTTGACACCACAGATAAATGGAGAATGCTCCTTGGCAGGAGTGAGTGCCTCATGTTGTGGTGTTTATATCAGCAGCAATTGTTTCTGAAGTGGGAGAGGTACAGTTTTTTCTCCAGTTAGGATTTCTGCTTTAGCCCCATCTCAAACAATTTGAATTCCCTCACTTTGCTCTCTGTCTTGTTCAATGAAGGACAGTAGGAAAGGTTCAGATTTAGGAAACCTCACAATTTTCATTAAGTTCTTGCTTTTGCATAGTTACCTTGATTGTGTTTGTTTTGGTACAGAATACTTGGAATGAAATAACCCAACAGATTGTATGGGAGGGCTGGTTCAGCTTAGTCCCTGCAGGAGCTGGCTGAGCACCTTGGAGGGTGCCATCAGGACACAAACAGTGTCCAGTGGGTGAATGCCAGGACTAGCAAAATCCAGTTGTTGGTTTTAGAATCTTCTATGTTCAAAATAAGATACAAGAACTGTAGGTGAATTTAAAAGATTTACCAACTGTTGGTAAATAACTGTGTTATTTACCAACTGTTTGACTACTGGTTAGCAAGAAAATCAAACTCTCTTTCAACCTCTCTTCTGTTGATGTAGAAATTTCTGTAATGTTTCAGTTTCAAGGCTGTGACTTCAGTGTCTCAGAAGAGTCACAGAAAAGGAAGGCTTTTCTCCCCACTCCCTGCTTCCCAACACACAAGCCACAGTGGTAGGTCCCGTGTCTGAATTCTTCTGGCTGGACAATGACAGAATGAGTCTGCATTTGAACCAAGGTTTTTCATTATTCCCATGAGATTTCATACTTGTGGTATTGTCCAATTTTCAATTTAGAAAAATAACACAACAGTGTGGCTTTTCAGCACTGTAAGTCAGATGCAGTAAAAAGCTGAATTCTGAATTTTTGAGTGTTTTCTACTACTCTTCAGTTCTGTTCAGTTTTAAATGTGCTGCTTTAGTGTAATAAATAGATATAGGCTAAGGTACTTATAGATGGGAGTAACTTTCAAATACAGTGCATCCCCTTTTCTAAGTGATAAAGAGCTAGAAATAGTTGGGTCTGGATTAGGAGGCTCAAACACTGAGATATGGTTGAAGTTATTTTTAGTATTATTTTAGGCGTCTGACTTCTTAGAAGAGAAGTTGCACTCATTCAAATAAACACACAAATTACTAATTGTAATTTCCCAAAAGTTGGCAGCAGGTGAGAAATACCTGATTCACTATTAACTGGTAACTTGCTTAAACATAATTTGCAGCTTGTCTTTAAAACCAATAAATGACTGGTCATTTTATATTTTAATTTATATTTGGTCAAGCTTAGCAGTTCCGTACATGCATGCAGGTTGCTTTAAATCAAGTCTTTTGATTTTTTTGCACAGGCCTCTTACATTACTTTTATATATATATACATACTTTTATATATAAAAGACCTCATTTATGGAATTCTCTCACAAGGTGGCAAGTATCTTCTCTTTCTAAAAATACTTCTATGCTGTGGGGGTGTGCATAATTTCTGATTTAATTGTTTAAGTGGTTTGCATTGTTATTGGTAATTCATGCTAGCAAAGAAAGGGGAAGAGCAACCTTATGTTACTCCTCCTTTGTTGTGCTTCTGGCTAATTTTGGGAATTACCTACTGGAAGTGCTGTATTTGTGTTAAGGGGGATGGAATGGGTACAGTCAGCTGCACTTTCATGGCACTGACCATTAATGTTTGTTATTATACATAGGTGATAACTGAACTGAAAGCATTGTCATGGGTTGGAAAGAGAATTGTTCCTTGGAACTTGGTTGTTAATGATGAAAAATACTTACAAGTATTTTCCTTATTCCACAGCTTCCATTTGAAACAGAGATTTATTACATCCAGCATGTGATGCTCTATGTTGTGCCCATCTATCTGCTGCACAAAGGAGGTAGGTAGGCATTTACTCCCCATGGATTGAACTGGTCCTAGGGAATGAGAACACTGTGCTTACTGCATAACAACAGTTTTATTCTTACACTTTTTAAACCAATTTTCTCTGTTTTTAATTTATAGTTCCTGATGTTCTAGTGTTCTAATGTTGGAGTTTTAACCCAGGTAATGGGTTGTGTCAGGCACGAAACAAAAAATTTTAAAAATGGTCTTTTCTTTTGCCTGAAGGAGTATTTAGAATGTATTTGTACAATGTGCATTGTCTTCTTGAGCAGCATCTCTGCCATCTTGCAATATTCTCAGTTGTTGGTGGGATGTATTTGTAAGATTTTTGCCTTCTTGGATGTCTCTTGAAAATTACTGAACTCCAAATAAGCTAAAAAAATTAGTTGTCTAGTTAGATAAATCTCAGAAATTCTGAAGCTCCAGTGGAATGTAGTGACATGTATCACTGAAATGAACTAGATTGCTTATCTCTTCTAACAATATTGCTGTCTTGCATTCACTTATGCCATAACAGCTCAGTAAGTCTGGGAATCCTAAATTGTTTCCCTGGCCAGTGATTTTTCCAGATTTTTTTTTTTTGTGGATCCTCCAAGGGCATGCACTGTACATTCAGCTGGTGTGGTGCTCTGCCCCCCTCTAGTGCTGACATGCCTCTAGCTGCATTTTCTAGCAGAGCTGGATTGTTCCATCCAGGACATAAAATACGATCATTTGTGATCCACATGTTCAGTAGCCTTTAATGAAAGCCCTGGGGATGTGATGTCAAGCAATGGGATGCAGTCAGGCTCTTCCTTCCTGCTGAATCCATTGTGTTTTATACCAGTGGTCACTTACAATCCTTCACCCTATTTCACTGTAACCTTTGTGTTGCAGTGACCTGATTGCACTGTCACCTACTGAGTGAAATTAAGAAAAATTATTCAAAGGAAAAGTGAAGTCTTGTACTTAAAAAGATGATTCTGTTTCTTTTTTTTATCAGGGAAATATACCAGCCATGTTTTAATTTTAATCCACCCTTGACAGGCTAAAATTCTGGCAAATAATGCCAAAGTACAGGGTAGTTGTAGGAGTTACACAAACTCATAATCTTTGCAGGAGGAGCAAAGGGGCAGAAAACGTCAGCAGTCATGCAGTGAACTGTAGGTAGTGACAAAGCTCTTATGATGTCAATAAATCACTTGGTGGCCTTGGAGTTCCCATCTAAGGTCACTTTAAGACAGTCCTTTGCTTTGAAAAGGCTTGGCCTTGGATGATGCTCGATGTGTTCTTTTAAGAACACTTTTGGTGGTTTGGCTTTTTGTTTGTTTTGCAGTAGAGGTTCTCAGGGTTCTTCAGGACCTGGGACTGACAAGAACTGGATTTGCAGTGTGAAGGGTTTGATGTTGGACACTCGTCACCCTGGCTCAGTATTCTGAAGCCCTGCACTGTGTTTATGTACAGGTATTTGCTGCCATCTAACGTTCACGTGATGGCAGTGGAATTGCTGAAAGAACTTTGTTGGCTGAAGCTGTCAATTGAGATTGCTCTGGGTGTTTAACTAAAAACTGCTCCATTTCTTATCCGCTTGGCTCCTCATCACCTGACTGGCTGTAATTAACAAAACACCCATGAACTCCTGCCACAGGTGACATAATGGATCATTTTTGGTGGAAAAATTATGTAGCCTAAAATATTTGTTAATGTTATTTCTGTAATTTCACTAGCACCTCTGTTTAAGTACCTTCTGAGTAGGTCACACAGGCCTTTGTCATGAGTTCTGTATCTTGTGAAAATTGCTTTTTCATCACTGACATTGATCAGCATGAAGCTTGATTTCAGTATTGTAAATAGAAATTTCCATCAGTGAATCTGTAGATTATGATTGAGAGAAGTAATCGAAGGGTGGAAAATTGAAAAAAATGAAAAGGAACGGATTGTATTTGGAAAAATATACTACTTCAGTTTTATTGGGAATCTGACTAAATTATTGGTGACCTTAATAGGACCCAAATGTTTCTCAAAGATAGGGTGAGCAGAACACCTGAAGCAGAGTGGATTTCAGGCTCAGGCTGTAGAGAACTGCACCCTCAAGTTTGCTTGTAATACTCTAATCAGGTATTGCACCAGCCATGCACACACATCCAGCTGCCTGCTGAAGTGTTTCCTCTTTGAAAGGAAACTGGTGACAGTAAGCAAGGGCTGTAGTAATTTATTTTCTGTCTTTTCCTGCTACTTATTACAGTGGTGCAGACTGGTCATGCTGCACTGGCAACCTTCATGTCCTTCCTGACCTTGTAAGAGGGGGGCTTTGCCACACTCAGCAGCACGTGGATGAGAGAGGAGTTTGGAGCTCAGCATTCAGTGTTGCACAGGGAACTCACTGGAGCTCAAGGACATGGATCCTTTTTGGGGATTAAAAACTCCTCTTCCCTCTCATTCCTCTCTGTACTGAGTGAATATAAATTTCCATACTTCCCCTTCTTAATGTATTTTCTTCCTAAGTGCATATATGCATGTATACATAGCATGCATGCCAGGCTAGACAAATGAAATGCTTTTACACCATGGCTCATCTTTCTTGGCAGCACTAAGAGGCTCTCATGCAAAATAGATGTAGTGTGGATGTAACAAGCCAGCACACAAGATTCCTACCCCAAGTCAGTTCTTACATGAAGTGTATCTGCAGTTGGCACTTGTATTTTACTGGATGAATCTCACTTTGTGTCACCTGCCTCCCAAAATTGCAGCATGCATCTGAGCGAGACACAGCATTCCAGAAACTGCTGGAGCATTTGAACCAGACCTGGCAGGTCACTGTTTTCTCTTGTCCTTAAGAAGTGAGACTCTGAGAGACCTTCAGTGGGGTCAGGACTGCTAAGTTCTTAAACTGTGTATTCTTAAGATAACAGAAAAGAAATCTAGCTTGCACTACTTCAGGTTTAGAGACTGATGATGATGGGTCTTGTTTCTGACTCTCTTAAGCTTGTTTGGTTAGGTTCTGCAATGGATTTGACAAGGTCAGGTGTGCACCTTATTTCAGAACATCAAATCATATTGAAAGTTAATCAAGGCGGAATTGTTATTTCCTTAGTGCAGTGATCAAACGATATCCTAAATTACATTATTCCACATCAGACTGAAATAAGAGTGAATTTGTAGCAGCTCCCTAGAGCTCAGGAGATAATCTGCCCTGTGTTTTGATATCTCCAGTGTTATTTATTTGAGTTAATAAACTGCAGTAGGTAGAAGATGCTGTTGCTGATGAGGTGTTTGGGATTCTGTGGCTGCAGGGAGTGATACTGAGAGTCTGTCGGGCAGGGGGTCTGTCGGGCCTGTCTGTCTGTCCGGCAGCTGGGGGCCTGTCTGTCCTGCAGGGCCGGTCTGTCTGTCCTGCAGGTCTGTCGGGCCTGTCTGTCCGGCAGCTGGGGGCCTGTCTGTCCTGCAGGGCCGGTCTGTCTGTCCTGCAGGCCTGTCCTGCAGCTGCGGGCCGGTCTGTCGGGCCTGTCCGGCAGCTGCGGGCGGGCCCGGCGCTGGTGTCGGGGGGCTGCGCTGCGCAGCACGGCCGGCAGGCGGCGCTGTGCCCGGCGCCGTGAGGGAGCTCCCGGTGCGGGCTCAGGAAATGCCCTCGCTGAGGCGAGCCGGGCCCGGCTGGGCCGTGATGGCCTTGTGAGGGCCTGGCAGCCCTGTGCGCAGCCCCCGTGTGTCTGAAGGGCCGATTTGGCGCTAAATAAATGAGTTGTGTGCTGGCAATAGGAGCAGAATTTTCTTCTCAGGCAAGTGGTGTATATAAGCAGAGAAGAGCCGGTGTCTGACTGAAGTCCCAAAGCCCTTTCCTTTGTTGGTCTGTTCTCAGAGGTGGCACCAGAAGAGAAGCTCTGTGGCATTGTCACACAGTCAGTTGAAGCTGTTGATTTTATTTTCCTTTTCTCCCTTCTCACGGAGGATGCCCCTGCTGTGCTCGGCAGCCGGGCAGAGCAGTCAGCGCCGGCGGCTCCCTCAGAGCCCGGAGCGCTCCTGACCTCAGCACGGCCTGGGCTTGGCAGATGCAGCACACAGATACCAAGTACACATGAAAGGATCATTTTCCCTTTGGTTGTAAATTAAGAAAGTGCAATTAAAACACTCAAGTTGTGTTTTCCATTGGCTGTTAGGACCATATTTAAAGACCTTTTTTTTAGCTGTTGCACCCTCTGTCAGCCACTTTCCCACTTTGTGGCACTTCCCTGCCTTTAGCTAATTCTTTCCTTAGCTTTCTAAAGGAGTTATCCAGCAGGCTTTATTATATACCTTTAGTAGTAATCCAGGAGAAATATCACTTCATATTTTGATATACTAAGGGCCGTCGTAAATCTAGTCCATCTTGATCTTTATTGAAATACTTGATAATGTGTGATACAGCTGTTTTGCTAAAACTGAATTACTTAGAGGCCTATAGACTCTTGCATGTTATTTCCCTACTCTGCTTCTGCAATTCCATGTTCTATTGCAGATTTCTCTACCTGCTGAATGCCCTGTATTAGGCATAAATGTGTGGTTTGCTGTTGAGCTGTGCTTGTGCCGTGGCACCTTGTGTGCTGTTACTCTGGCTGCAGCCTCTCCTGTAGCTTGAATATTCGAGAATAATCTTGTTTGATGATTTAAGAGAGATGAAGAGGAAGAGGAGGAGATGTGTCCCTGTCCTGAGACCCTCTGAGCTTTATGCACTGGGCAGTTACAGTTAGTTTGAAAAATGAAATATCTCTCCAGGAGATGGAGAAATTCAGAAGGGCAGGTGCCAGTATCTGGAAGAACTGTTACTATATGAAGGTAGAGGAAGAGTTACTGCTGCTGCTCTAGGGAATATAAAAAATGATTCCTGAGAGAAGCAGGTACTGGAAGAGCTCTGTCTGAGCTGGTTCTGATGAAAGTAGCTGGCACTGAGGGGAAACAGAAACCTCCTGGCATAAGGCACTAGTTTGAAACCTACACATGGAGTCAGAACAGCTGTAGGGGAAACATGGATTTCAGGATCAACCTCTTGAAAACATTTTTTTTCCTGTTTTCCCCTGGAAAGGAAGTTTTATCTCCAGGCTAGCTCAATAGGCCACTCAACTGGAATTAACCCTCTGATCAAGGGAAATAAAAGGAAACTAAATTTGCCCACACATTTTTGTAAGCTTGAAAATGAAAGAATTGTAATAGTTGCTCTGAGTTTTGGATTAAGCAGGTCTACTTATAATTGTAAGACAACTGAAAGAGAGTGTGCAGCACTGGAAAACTCATAAAGCTCCATCAAATGTAGTGGGAATGAAAGCAAGACATTAAAGAGATTATTTTAAACCCTACTAAATTAAAAATTGGTACTATATTTAGATTCTAATTCTCTAATTCAAACAGAGGAGTAATTTTCTCCTGCATTATGTTTTCACAGAAACACAAAAGGAGTATTGCTTTCTATTAAGTTGGGTTCAAATTTTCAGAAGCCTGGGTATTGAGAATTTTAAATGAAAATAATAGTTCATAAGAACATTTGAACAAGCACATTGTGGGGAGGGAACAGTGTAAAAATGCCATCTCTTTGCTGATCTTCAGTTTTTTAAAGCCATGCTTCCATTTCCTAGATGGCAAAATGATCAATTTGGCATATTCAATGTCAACAAAGTCTTGTTTAGAAGCAGATGAAGAACCCAAAACTCTGTTCAGTCTATATGGGATCCTTCATATCAGTGCTACTGAAGTAATGGAGTGTGATTTAAACTGATTTAAATTTCAACACAGCAGCAAACATGCAGCCTACCTGGATGGCCCCAGCTGGGAATGGTCTCAGCTGTCTGGGGAATGAGTGTTTTTGAGAATGAGATCAGGGCCAGACTGGCACTTGGACTGCATTTCTGTAAGTGCTTCATGTATAAGAACTGCCCATGATCCTTCATAAACAGAGAGAAACTCTCTGCTCCCACCCATTGAAATTGATTTCCTATGCAAGCAGCAAGTAGCTTTTGCCAAAGCCAACAGAGGCCCTTCAAACAGCCACTCAGCTGGCTCTCAATTTTCCTGTTTGTGTTTTTCTTTTAACAGACTGTACTATGGAAAACAGACCACACTGCTCCATTAAACAGCAATCCACTGAATAGCAGGGCTGTAGAGTAATAAAATCTATAGTGGGTATTTATATAATGAGAAATGTACAGAAAATATCCCAGGTATGAATTTAAAATTAGTTTTCCAAAGCACACTGTGGAATCTAGAGTGCTCCAAAATGTTTTTGTGTGGAGGTCAGTGTTTTCTTTTTGTCCTTTGATGTCCAAATAGTGCCACTGCTGAAAATCACACCATTATTTTCAGGATTCCAAAGTTTAATAAGGAGGGATATTTTTAGTAGGAAGCAAGACCAAAAATCTGTCGAGAGCAAAAGTTGCTGATGTATTTTTTTTTTAATTTTGCAACAGAGCAAGGATGTAGCAGAGGGAAATTCCTTGCTGGGGGAACCTGAACAGCTCTGCTAAGGGACCTCTGAAATCCCATTCCCTGATTAGACTGGAAGCCTGGGTTCAAAGCCAAATTGTGCCATGGATCTGTGTTGTCATCTTGTGAAATTTCCTTAGTCTTCTAATGACTGCTGTCTCCCTCCAGTCTCATTTTATAGCTGGGGTCACTTGTCTGTATTGGCATTTATCCCCTACCTGCCCTGTAAGTCACCTGGATGTGGAGGTGTCTGTATTTTAGCTTTCCTGGGTGCTCACCCCTTTCGACTCACCAGGCTTTGTCAAATACTTTTGAAATAACACAGGCAACTGCCAACAGAAACCTAATTTGGTTTAGCAGTGCTCAGCCAGTTCCCAGGAGCTGCTTTGATACCTTATTTAAATTTCATGTTGTGTTTTGTATCTAGGTTAAACATGCACCTAAAACTGCAAGGACAATATAAATAAATTTTGCAAGTCAAGCAGTGTTTTCCTTACAGCAGAGGAGGGAGTACAAAGAGTTTCTCTAAAGCTTGACCAGGTCACCTAAAGTTGGTGCAGCCAAAAATAGAGCCATGATCTCCTGCACTCTGACACCAAGGCTCATTCCTCCTGCTCCTCTTCTCTCTGTAATGAAAAACCATATTCAAGGTGGTGTCACCTGTCTGATGTTTTCAGGCCATGGAGTTCAATGAATATCATTGCTGTCTAAGTCAAGACTTCTGTACTGTTTCCTAAAGAGGATGCCAGCTCCGCTCACACTTGCAAGTGCATCCCAAGAATTACTGTTGGGAATTTTTTCCCTTTACCTGCAGAACTCAAAGTGATTCCTGTAGAATTCTCTTTTCCCTTTGGTTTTACTTGCTGTTCATGCACTTCTGGCCTTCACCTTCCCACTGTCTAAGCCTTCCAAGCTGCCCTGTGCTTTCCAAGTAGCTCCTGTGCCCAAATGTGTCATGGACTCCCCGAGTGTTCTTGGGAGTGGATGTGCAGTTTTAGACAACAGCTTGTAGGTGGTTTTGAATCTGTAGCACTCACAAAATGCGATTTAATTGAACTTATTTCAGGTAGCTAATGCAAAATCAATTTGAACTGGCATGATGGGTACAAATTATGGAAGGAAACTATACAGAAAATAATTTTGAAAGGGCCACAGAGCTTGAGGAAGCATTGCTCTAGAGACCTTAAACCTGAGCTGGGATCCAGCATTAAACAGTGATGTGGTCACAGCAGTTACTTGTATTTATCTCCACAGGGTGATGGAGATAAATATTATGGAGATATATATAATATATATTATATATATAATGGATATATAAAAAATATATAATATTTTATATTATATAAAATAGTGTATAATGTATTTTGTATAATGTAACTATAATGTATATTATATGTGATATAAAAATATATTATTATAATAATTATACTATACCTCCATCAATATAAATATGATAGAGATAAATGAAGATTTCCTAGCAGCTGTGGTCTGGTGGGTGCTGTGGTAGCTGCTCTGCATGTGGAGTTATTTAAGTTCCCAGTAGCCTGGTGCAGTGCATGCTGAAGGGTTTCATTGCTTCCTGGTGATTACTGAGTGTGCTGGCCAGCCAAGGCCAGTACCAATATTGCAGTCTGTGCTCTAAGCTGTCCTTTGAGTACTGGATACATGTTCCAGTATTTAATAATATCTAATGGATCAGAGAGCAGATAAAGGCAGATAAAAATTGCCAGTGTATTTTTATAATCCTCTGAAACTCTTACAGCAGCCAAACAGCGTGACATTGTGCACCTTTCCTTCGTGTTCTGAGGCTGTTATTAAAGTCATAAGGAAAATAATATTTTCCCACATAGCTTACAGTGCAATTTTCATGTCTGCTAGTAAGAGTCTAGAGAACTCTGTAAACTGGTTTTGTTCTTACCATATGAAATTTGAATATTTGATTCCCAAGATAGTCTTGTATCTATGAGTACTTTTATTAAATCTGATTCCCTTGGTACATTCTAGATCAGGGAACATAGTGTTTTGTCAGTAAAGCCTGGTTTTGAGAGGGTTGGAATAATAGAGAAAGGTTGGAATAATATATCTGCTACTTCATTTCAAGGGAAAAAGTATTTTACAGTATCTGTGATATCTACTGATTATAAAACTGTTTGTAGTGTATATCTGAAAATATCCCCACAGCAGCTTTCATTTAAAAGCACAGCCTGTCATTAAGGGATTGACCACCTGATACAGCTTTTCTGTTCCTTGGCACTATTGGTGCAAGTTCCTTTTCAATAGTTGTTAACCATAAAATTAGGAAATGACAATTAAGCTGTGCTCTAATGAAGGCTGTGCAGGACCTGCTGCTGCCTAAGTCTGTGCATGCTGAAATCATAATCCCTGCAAGAAGCAGGTGTTTAAGTATAAATAACCTGATTTTTAAAAAGATTTATTGTACACCATTATTGCATTTATTACTTCTGTGGTAGAAGGAAGAATGAAATAAAAATCATTGATGGTGAAAAATAGATTTAGTGAGGTAACATATTGTGCATCTCACTGCTGGCAAGGAGGAGGGAAGAAGCTGATCAGGATGCTTCAGGTAAGAAATAAAGCTCTCAGATATTAATTACTCTAATGGTATTGAGGAGGTTATCAGCTCAAGGCAGATGTCCTGCCATGCAGGAGAGAGAGGATTATGCATTGGGAGTGTGGTGGGCACAGCAGTGCAGTGACCATGAATGTTTTCCTTTCTCTCCAAGGTATCTACACCCCTGAACCGCTCTGCAATTTCTGGTGGGCTCTTTTATCCACGGGGTTCATGTTTGTGTATCATTTTAGCATCCTGCAGATCCTGGGACTGGTAAGTAAAGCCAGGTTAATAAATGGATAGTCTGCAAGTACATTCAGAGTAAAAACACTGAGTAGTTTGAGTGTGCAGATCTACATGGATAAGACTACTTGCATGCAAATTTTTTGATATGGCTGCTTGTATGCAAATTGCATGATATGAGCATTTGTATCTTATATCTTGCAAGTACTAATAAAATAGTTCATAGATTGGTTATGTACCTGCATAAATCCATTTATTAAATACACAATGGAATTGGGATCTGCTTTTTTTCTGAAAGCTGCCCTACTTGTGTTGAGCAAATGTGTCACTTGAACATTTTTGATTATTTTGGTAATTTTCTAAATTTTCACTGTTTTTAGGTCAATCAGTGCAAGATAAAAATATTCTTAATTGATAAATTTATTGTTGCTTCCTCAGGTAACAGAGGTGAATTTGAACAACATGCTGTGCCCAGCCATCTCAGATCCTTTTTATGGGCCCTGGTACCGAATCTGGGCATCTGGACATCAGACTGTCATGACCATGACTCATGGGAAGCTCATAATCCTGCTGTTTCACAGTGCTGTCCCCACCCTCAAATGGAGCATGGACTTGCTTGGACTCCCAGCTAAGAAAATAGACTGAAATGTCTCCCCACAGAGCAGTTCATACAGGAAGCAGAGATATACTGGAAAACAAGGAGGGGGGGATGAGAGGACAATGTCTTTCTACTTCTTCCCCCAGTTTTTTGCCTCAAAAACACCTCTGTAATGAAGTGAGGTTTTTTTACCTGCTATTTCTCACTGCCTATTGCCAATGGCAAAATTAGTGGCCTTATTTTGGGGAAGGTTCATGTTTTATACATTTTGTATAGATTACAGTAGAATCTTGCTAAGCCACCATTTAAAATTAGGCCAGGACCTGTCCACATTCCAGCAGAGAGAGTGGCAGTGCTACCTCATTTTGACTCATTTTCCATTAAAGAATTGTACACTTCTAGGGCAGGAAATAATGCTGAATTGTAGCACTCCACTGGTGTGAACCAACAAGCTGGACTGCATCTCCTGGCTTAACTCTTAAAGCTTGAATGTTCCAAAATGGTCACAGGAAATCATGCACACAATCTTCCAATCAGAAGTGCAAAACAGTGAGCTTCTACTGTATTTTCTTAAAGCTGGTTGAAAATGTTGGGGAACAATAACTCATTAAAAATACTAATCAACTACTTAATTTCTAAGCTGCAGTGGGTAAGTACCTATCTAGTGAAGTCTCATCATGATGCTTTGGAGATGCTTTTATTTTGGCAAGGGGAAAAAAAAATGTTGAAATAATTTCAAAAGACCATGTTATGTATAGGCCATGATAAGATATTGCATCCACTGTTCTGTCCTGACTTAGAACAAAATGGGTTTTTTTCACTTACCTTATACTGGAGAAGGAGTGGAGATACCAAGTCCAATGTAAACATCAGGGTTTTTTTTTATATTTAGTAGCTTTTGAAACATTCCTGCTTTGTCTGTGCTGATCTTCACTGACCAGATCATGTGTATTGATTTTAAAATACAGGTATAAAAAGGAATGTCAGATCAGTGCAGGCCTCTACTGCAAAGGGCATGTTCCACTTTAGTAGCATGGCCCATCAATGTCTTTTGGAGAACCGGATGGGCAGAATGATCAACTCTGCTCAAATTTTGCAGGAGGAGCAACCATTGGGCAGAAAGAGAGAAAATCCTGACTGTGTTCTTCCAGAATTCTGAGTCCATTGTGCAGACTGTTGTGTTTCAGGACTGCAGATTTTTCTTGTACAGAAGTTTGGGGGAATTTATAGATTAATTGTGTTGTCAAAGCTGTGATTTTTAAGATAAACCAAAACCATCATACCTCCTCCAGCTGGATCACCTGAAGGTATGTGCTGAAGTTAAGGTACAGATATTTATACCTCAGGAAGCAAAAGTAAGTTGACTTTTTTTTTCTTAAGAAAGCAAAAAATTATTTTGTGAGGGAACAAATGGCTACTTCAAATATTTTTACTCCATGTGATTGAAAAAAGTTCACCTCAATCAGAAATACATTGTCCCATATTCTGATTTACAAATTGATTTCTGGCATTTTCCATGCCTTGCTGTGTGTATATATAAGAATATACTGTATGCTCACAACTTGAGAACATGCAGCATGTACCTAAACTGTCCCTCAGGCATATACAGCTGGTGTTAGTATTACAATAGAAGGACTTTAAACAAATTTTGCAAATACTACTTAGCATTATTATTTGCTTTATTTGCTTAACTCATGGTTTATGGGTTTTTGTTTTAATTGCCTTTTTTTTTTTTTACAATCTTCCCTTTCTTTTTCCTGCCAGGATATTGTAGTTACTGGAAACACTTCTCTAAGTAGGAGCCTTTTCTGTTTTCCTTTTTTAAACTATAGCATTTCCTATCTGTAATCATCTGCTTCAGGGCATTCCAAACAAGTACAAAGCAGCTGCTGTTTGCCACCATTGACTGCCTCTGGTCAATTAAAACTGCAGGAGCATTTAAATGAGCTCAGGTGTCTCACCCAGTGCAGGCTCTGTGCTTGGAAAGCAGAATTTGCAAGCTCTTCTGGTTGACTTAAAATTCAGTAGCAGGAATGTGAGCAGAGCTGCCAGGGCCATCCCTGGGCAGTGCAAAGGGATTCCTGGTGCAGAGCTGCTGGGAGTGCTTGCCCCTGCCCTCCCTCCCTGGGCCCACCTGTGCTTTTCCCTCTTATGCTGCTCCGGTTGTTTTGAGTCACACAGAAATTCCAGCTGTAATTTCACCACATGGGGTTTGCTGCTGGAGCTGCTCATCAGAGCCAGTGGGGCTTGGACTGTCCTTCTAAACCTCGTGTGGGCACGTTCTGGAGCTTGTTGAATCTTTTGTACCAATTTAAGCTGAGAAAATGTCTCGCTGAACAAAGCAAAAAAGTAGAGAGGTAACCAACTCCTGCTCTCAGTAAGGATTTTAGAAGTACTGGAGCTGCAGTGAAGGAATCAAATGGTGCAGCTGGAGTCAGGTGGGAAGGCAGGCAGTCCAACCTTCACCTTTTGAATATAAGCTGTTGCTTATTTGTTGTTGTGCACTATCAGTGAGGCTGGCTGAGTTAGAACAGAATCATTTAGGTTGGAGAAAACCTGTGAGTTCATCAAACCAAGCATTAACCCAGCACTGCTGAGCCCACCATTTACCCTTATCCCCAGGTGCCACACCTACACATCTTTTAAACCCCTCCAGGGTTGGGGACTCCACTGCAGCCTGTTCAAGGCTTGATAACCCTTCTGGGGAAGAAATTTTTCACAAAGTCCAATTTAAACCTTCCCTGGTGCCACTCGAGGCTGTTTCCTCTTGTCATGTTGCTTATTTCCTGGCACAAGAGGCTGACCCCCACCCTCCCTTCAGGCAGTTGCAGAGTGACAGGTCCACCCTGAGCCTCCTTTTCCCCAGGCTAAAGCCTCAGCCATTCCTTAGATGTGTGCTCCAGACCCTTCCCCAGCTCCAATGCTTTGCTTTGGGTGTGCTCCAGAGCCTCAGTGTCTTTCCTGTAGTGGCAGGCCCAAAACTTACAATTATTCCCTGCTTCCCCATGCCCTTCTTTGAAGGCTTTTAGAACTTTATGTAGATTTATGATGACCCAGCACTCAAAACTGCATCAGTGTAGCTGAGACAGGCTCCACAGAAGGGGAAGGACAGGTCAGAATGGGAGCAGAAAAGGGAAAAACTTCTGAAGCAATTGTGGAACTTCACATCCTTCATTCCTCACCTATCTCTGGTATCTGCTGGGAATATGCATTAGCCAGAGCTTGCCATATGTGCAGGAAATGGGAAAGCAGAGTGCTTCATCTCTATAGCACTTATTTGTTGTTTTCCCTGGCACAGGCTGATTCTTCTTTTCCCTGAATGGTTTATTTTATAGGCAGTTACATTATACAGATTTCTTTGGTTGCTTTATGCCTATTTATGCTGGAAATGAAAGCAAAAGTGTAATGCTGTTCTTGGGAGGCAATTGCATTCTCTCCTGGGGAGTTACACACTCAGTCCATGTCAAGATAACTTGAAGCTGTTGCCCAGTGCCTGGTGATGAGGTTTTACAGTGCTGCAGTGCAGTGCAATTGAAAGGGCTGTCCTGGGGCTCCTGTCACACGTGCCCAGATGTGTCATGGCACTGGGAACTTCAGCAGCTGAAGTTCAGTGTAAAATCTCACCCCAGAGCAACTTCATTTGCTGGCCAGAATACTCCAAAAAATTCTTGTGCAGTGCCACTGCCTGGCCTTCAGAGATGCTGCTATGGGTGAAGGGTCTGAACAGAGCCCTCCAACTGTTGGTATTGTAGGCATTTCAAAAGAAACAAACTCATTGCTCCAGCTGCCACTGGCTGCATTTCCCTCCAAGTGTACCCATGAATGCAGCATTATTTTGTATAATAAACCTGTTTACTGATGGGTTTGTTAATGCAGCATTGCAGTAAGTAGCTCTCCAAACCAGTAACATTTCTGCCCCCACCACCTCCTGCCATGGCTGCAGCTGTCCAGGATCCCAGACACTGTACAGTGCCTGAGCTGGATCTGTTTGTTCAACTTCCTCTTTTAAGCACCAAAGAAGAATTTGCTTTGTTTCTTTTGAGAGGTGCTAACAAATAGCTCTTGCCCATGTGTTTGTACATTGATGAAAAGCCACAGTCTATGAACACACACCTGGAGCTGGTTTTGGTTCAGCTTCTTAGTTCTGATGCTGCCCTAAGCTAAACTTATGTGTGCTTGAAGAAAAGTCAGTCCATTTGCAGTCCAGTCAAACCTTGAGGTCAGAGAGTACCTAAGAGTAGGTTTCTGTTTCTGGCCACAGAGTTTTGATATTCTTGTATATTTGAGATAATTTTATAAAGTTCAATTGTATTTTTCAGAAATGGCTATTTGCAACTGTTAACTGACTGTACTTCTATGTCCTAAGTCTTGCATCTAAACCAGAAGCATTTGTTTTGAATTTGTTTTCTATCCATAGCTTATGGAAAATAGAGTTGTGGTGTTTTCTTCAGTGTGACAATTGTTTCACTCTAGGTGGATCGTTAGCAATTAAATTCATCCTTACAGTTAACAAAGCTCTGAAAAAGCCAAAACCCAGGAAAAGGGTACATGTCAGCCCTGGTGGGAGGTTTCTGCAGGCAGGCAGGTCAGCTTGGTGTTTTCAGTTCTACAGTGACAGGACTCATAACAAATCTGTTGATTTTTGTGACCTTGTACTTCAAGTGATATTGCTGTAAATTTCTCTTGCAGCTGCTGGTGTAACTTAGTCAAAGCCAAGCTGTTTTATAAATAATTTTATTTTTATTCAGGGTCAATTTTGTACTTTTAAAAACTCTTTCTGCATTTCCTGAGTCATTATCCCAATGCTGCAGAGGACACAGCAGGCAGAGCAGTGAGCACACCCCACTGTCCCTGACCATCCTGTGCCAGGGGCTGGGCTGGAGCACCAGGGGCCTGCAGGGCTTTCCCCACACTCCAGTCCCAGCATGGCATCATCCAGGCACAGAAGGGGTTGGAAAGGGCAAGGATGGATGTGGATGGGCTCAACTGCCACATATGCTGTTAGGTCTGAATAATTTGTAAGTGTTATAAATTTTGTAAACTTTTTAATGTGCTTAACTTTGGTTATGAGGTAACATTTACAAATGAGGGGTAATTTGTGTACTTGTTTTTGTATTTTGCTCTGGTGGGCTTTTTTTGTTGTTGTGCCCTAAGTCCAGATCATTGGGCAAATAGTTGTTAAACCTTGAAATTAAAACAAATAAATGCATTTTACGGGATACTGGATAGTTTTGTTATCATTCTAGTTGTGCCATGGCTGAGTCTGTCTTGCTTAGGATTTTGTATAACTAGGTAAGAATCACAGAGGCACATTAATATTAGCTCCTTATAAATCAGGTAAGAAGATGGAGGCTCCTGTCTGAAACAATCTGATGTTGTCTGCCTTGCACACAGCAGTTCCTGGGAACACAGTGGGTACTGGGATTTCTGGAATCCTAAGCAGTTCAGTCTGACTTTTGCCTGTTACCTGTCAGTCAAGAGCAGTTTACTGGCAGAGCTCATTGCAGGCTATAAATCCTTTAATCACTGTTTAAATAGGACCTGTCCTTGTCTTTCAGGTGCAGAGCTCAGGGAGCTGTTGCAGCCCAAGGATCCTTTTTCCAGGCTTCCTCACTGTTCCTACCCCAGCCTGGGCAACGTCCTGTAATTCCCATTTCACAGCACTTTAGCAGAAGATGTGAAAACATATACAGAAGTTTTCAGCTCACACCTTTGTTCAGAAAGCTGCTGTGGGACTGCACTCAGCCTCACATCACAGGATGGCAAAGCAGTTATAATGTATTTTGCAAATGCTTCTGGCTGCAATAAACATGATTACAGCATAGTTAAATGTATTCTTGTGACCCAGTACATCTCAGACAAGCAGGTTATTGCCTTGTGTTCAGTTCTTGGCAAATACTGTTCTTGGAAAAAAAACATACTGGATGTGCCCACCCTGTGTTATTATATATCCATTGCAGAGGATTCAATTTTTCATGTGGCTGGGGAAAAGAATCAATTTTCCAGCTTAATTTCTCTGGAAGAGTACAAAGACTGAGGAAACAGCTTAAGTAGAAATCCAGTGTGGAGTGCTGTATGGCAGCCTGAGTTGAACCAAGCAAGCAATTTCCCATTGCAGGCACTGCTGATTACTGTCAGCAGCCCTCTGTAACTAATTGGAAATCAGCCTTTTATTGTTTAATACCAACAAATATGTAAGAATAAGTGAGTTTCTACATCTGCTACTGGCTTGGTTTGATTTTTACAGCATGGGAACTGGAGAGCTAAAGCAGTGAGAAAAGTGGAAACTTATTGTAGGAAGTGGTAATTAGCTCTGCCTTTCAATGGCCTTGGGGTTTTAGACTAGGTTTAGTGTAGGTTTTACACTGAATTTTACCAAATCTGTGAGCCAAGCTTCCATCACTGGTTTAGTATTTACCCAGGCAGGTTTCCTTTCAGATGTTTGTTACTCTCCTAAATCACAGTTTCAGAGCACGTGAAGGAATGGCTGCATCAAGACTTCAACATCCAAAGGTTACATGGATTCTATTGCTCTGCTTTCAAAGGCACTACAGCTACAGCCAGCAAGGCTTTTAATAGAGCATGAGGCAAACAAAAGCCCTTCCAAACTCAGAGCTGAGTTCCAGGGAGATGGAATGCTTTGTCTCAGGAATTATCCTACCGGGGAAATATGCTCCCTCTACCTCAGACTCAGTAGAAAGTGTCTCAGTGCACCAAGAATTTGGCTGAGGGACCAAAGTTCTCCAACTCAGTTTTGGCACCAGCTGTGCTGTTGCTTTGACAGAGGTTCTTCAACACACACTGGCACAAGGTTCTGTTGAACAGTCTGGCTGTTGAGGGGTACCAGTGCTGTGTTGCTGACACCAGTATAGTTGGTTCTGCAAAGAAGTTTTGCTTCAAAAGCATTTCTGCTTCACAGGAGGGAGCTCAGGCCTGGGCAGAATTCCATGTGTAAAGTTAGACAAGAAGTAAAAAACTGAACTGGCAATTGATATAAATACTGCTGAATATACTGATAAATAACTGATGTAGCTGATATAAATGGTGATTTCACTGGGAGTGTTTAGTGCACGTACCTTTCTCCAGTTTGTTCCTACAGCAGACAAGACAGGAAAATACTTCTAACACACCATTAGCCTTTGACATTAACACCAGGTACAAATGCTTCAATAAAAACACTGACCAAGCAACACACTTAAGCAGAGAAACATAAAAAGAAATGGTGATTCTTTTTCCTTATTTTATTGGGTAAATGATTTAAAAGGTAATAACAATAGTGTTAAAACTACTACAATATCTTTCCACAGCCATATCTCACAGACCCACAGATAACCTTCTAGCATTTTTTTTTCTTTTTCCTCATTTTTCTCTTTTTAAGCCGTACTTATATTAAAATGCCCATTTCAACAGTTTCTTCACACTAATAGCAATTAAATGTGGAAGGAAGAAGGATCTAGTTATAAAGGAAGGGGGTTCAGGTAATCTGTGATATTACTGTAATCAATTGAGTTGCTAAGGAGGGAAGGAAAAGACTGAGGCCTTACAAGCTACTCCAGGTAGCTCTAAGCCCACTGTGTATCACCATGGCATTGAAGATAACTCAAGATGCTGGTGAACAATTTAAAGTAAGTTTGTTTTTTTTTTTGTAACATATAAAACACTAAAATAACTTAGAAACTAGATCCAAATATCTTGAAAAGAATCAACTTTGATATATAAAAACAGTCATAAGTTGTTACAAAAGTTTCAAACAAAAGTTTGTTTTCTCAGTGCGTTTATGTACCAGCGCAATTACTGAGTCCAGAGCAAAGAAAGAGGTTTTTCTTTTTTATTTTTTTTCTTTAACAGTAATAAAAAATGAGGAAAACATATCTTTGTATATAAAGAATCATTGCTGGTCTTAAGAATAAATGTAACCAGAAACCCTTAAATCTGAGAGGCACACTTTGGGTTTCTCTTTTTTTTTTTTTAACTTTTTTTTTTTTAACATAAAATGAAAGTCACCAGTTTATTTAAATGGAGGAGATACTCAGACTCCCCAAATAAACTTAATTCAATTAACATCACTAGCAAAAATCAGTTAGAAACTGTACAAAAATAAAAAAGTTAACACATTTAATCCTGCAGGGATTTTGTAAGGACTGGAAGGCAGGCTTTAGGAGCAGCATTTGGGCATGGCTGGAGGCTTCTTTGGTTCGATCTAACACACGTAAGAGATGTAACCTACTCCAGACAACAGTTTTAAAAACCCGCACAGTTGAGACAAGTAGAGGTCCATATACAAACTCCAGGTGTGCCAGGGCTGTGCCCACCTTGGTTCCAGAGCGGGGCTGAGGTCAGGACCGGAGCGTCCCCCCCTGCCGGAGCAGCAGCCGCCGCGGTGGCAGCGGGGAGGACACTTGAAGCATCACCGAGTAACAGCTTCGTGTCAAGTCTATGGTTTGGTTGTCTAACTCAGTTTACAGAACAGAGTTTTTAGGAACATTAGGCAAGAGAATGAAAAAAACCCCAAAAAAACCCAACAATCTCTTCAATGGAATAAGGCAAACTGAGTAGTGCTCATTAAAAAAAAAAAAAAAAAATCAGCATTTCAACTTAACAAACAGTGAAATAAGCTACTTGGTTGTACCTTAATTTCTATAAAGTACCCCAAATGAAAAACAAATCTGTAGCTAACCCCAACAATGCAGCTAAAAGCTACTAAATGTAACTAGGAGGGAATGACATTTGTGAGAGCAGTTGCTGATTAGCTTTAAGCAAACAGACCTGTGCTGTGCCAGTGCATGTCACAGTGAGCTGCACGTTTGGTACAAAGAATCCCACAATTACAGAGAAACAATCTGCAGCAGTTCAGCACAATGTGCTGAGGAGGTAGGTGCCCTAGAAACACTGTAGGTAGACTGATTATTCCAATCTTAAAAAAAAAAAAAATCATACAATCTGATTGACCACAGACTCTGTAACAGTTTTTAAATTAGTGATACAAAACTCTGGTCCAGTAGGGTCTGGCATGAGCTCGGTTCAAAAGCACACCTTTACAGTTTGTATAACACCCTTAACTATATTTTTAAGCAACAGCTACTAAGAGATAGACAAAAATGCATTGTGCATTATGCTGTATACAAAAAGGAGACAAAACTATCCTTTTCTCCCCCAAGCCATGGTGGGAAGTATTGCTGACCTTGTCCTTAAAATCCTGCAGGATTGTTTATTCATCAGTATATCATTATTACACTGGTAAGAAATTCTGTATAACATCTGCATATATCGAAGATTTCTTAAAAAATCTGATATGATTTTAGATCCGCATGACCAGTCACGTGACCTTCTTGAGGTTGATTAGCACCTTTCAATACATATATATTTTTATATATAATAGATCTTTTTAAAAAACTTCTAACAATGAGCTCATGCAGAAGCACGAGCGAGCTGTAACGAGATGACAGATAAAGATGGGGTTGGATGACTTTTTTTCGCAGCAGAATGATTCAGTTTGTGCTCAGGTTCCCTATAAGGGCAAGAAAAAAAACCAACACAACTCTATCAGGTAGCCACTTGTTCACATTTCCACTTGAAGACTAATTCATCTAAAAGTGTTCCCCAAGTAGAAACAAGACAACAGTATCATCCAAAATAGCCTCTGTATAAACATTTACTCATTTTTGCAGCTTCTGGCTGGCATCTCTTGGCTCCTGAAATTTCAGGCCCTCTGCTTAAAAATTAAGGCATCGCAACTGAAAGTGGTAATATTTGGACATAAATGCTGTGGATGAAGGAATACCAAAGACCTTCTACAAGAACCTCCATAGAAATTAAGTGGCAGACCTAACCTCACATAAGGGATGAGCATAATTTATCCTTATCCGACTTTGAAACCCTATTGAAACACTTTTACAGTTAATCCAATTTTTTTTTAAACTGAATTTTATCTATTTGATTTTTATATATCTATGTATTTACAAACATTCATTATTCAAAGTAACTGGAATTTCTGCTTACTGTGGTTTACTCACTCAGATTAGGAAGGTCTTTTCTGTAACAGGCAGCCTGTGCTGCAACAGGCAGCAGTGGGAGTTCTGCAGGCACAGGAGGAAGCAGTGAGCTCCTGCCATCAACTGGCCTTGCAAACAGACCACACATACCTTTTAACTAAATCCTATTTTTACAGCAGGAAAAAGTTCCAATCGATTTTCTTTCTTCTACCGTGTGGAGGGGGATCAGAATTATTACACAGTACTTACAGCTCTCAAGCACTATTCCTGCAATAGATGAAAACATGTAACATTATGGCATACTTGTCCTGGCTCTCTCACAAGTTTTTTTCTTTTATTAAGCAAAAGTTAACTTGATCCAACTATTCAAGACTTGATAAAATTCAGTAAGTTCAAAAGCAGATGAAGAACAGAACAGGGATTTCTCTTTTCCAAAATAAGTTTGCTAATAAAAATAAAAAAAAGTAAATCTCACTTTAAAGAGAAAAAAAGTGTCCAAAACCCTGATGCCAGAGCACCCTCAACAGGGTTTGCTAAAATGTCTGAAGTATATGTTTTCTATGAATTTTATATATAAGTATATAATTATGTTATAGTCAAAGGCACTAAAATCTAAATTCATTTCCTTCCTAATACGACATCTGCTACTCACCAATCTGTTTTTAGGACACAAATGTCACTCCTAATTTGAGTCATCACAAAGGCATCGTCTCATTACGAATGCATTCTCGTGACTACTCCTGACAGGCCTGGGCTGCCTGTGATTCCCAGCACAGGATGGGACACAAAAGGGTCCTGGGTTGGATTGTGCCCAAATCATTTAGGCCACTTGATTCTGAAAATGCTGCCATGTTAACATCACCTCTCGCTGTACATGAGTCGCTTCTCTTCATCCCAAAAAAGCATTTTGCATGTCAGCCTTGGTGCTCCGGCTGTTTGTGCTGGATCTGGAGATCCTGTATAGAGCTACATGGAATCTTTACTGTGAAGGTGAGATATTGTACACACAACGTCATTAAGAATGTTATGAAAATGCAATTCATTGTCTACTTCAATACCTGAATCTGATATGTTTCATTCCCTATCACACCCATTAATGCAAAAGCCATGAATGCCTTCTTGCTAAGCAAAGCATCCCTAACTTCAATCCTTAAACTCTTCCTTCCATCCACAGTTACAGAAAGCCTTGATTGATATAATTCAATGTTAATGAAGTAGAAATTTAAATTTTCATAAAAAATCCAAGGGTATATGCTGCAAAAAAATCTGCAGTGAATCAATAAGAAAAAGGTATGGGATCTTTGTAGTAATGCAGTTTTCCCTCCCGTTGCCACGATGAGCTGAACCAACCAAGGAGCCTCAACATGGCAACGGAAACTATCATCATAAAATGGTACAGTAATAGAGATAGCTAGACCAAGAAGGGGCAGGGTCTCCTGGGAAGAGGTCTGCAGAGAGGTCCAGTGACTGGTCATGCGGCTCAGTGTCAGGAATAATGGTTGTATGGTGGAAGGGGGTGCCCAATACCATTCTGGAAGTGATGATGCTGACGATGGGCAAGGTACTCTGTGTAGCTCATCGTCATCTTCTCACTGCGGTACCTGGCAAAGAGCAGAGAGCCAGTTCAGGAACTGTTACCAGGAAGCTGCAAGTAGCACCAGAAATGCTGCACTGCTGCTTTGTTTAGTGGTAAGAGCTCTGTACTTCTGATGCTGGGATTAAGACTGACTTCAGCTGCACAAGGGAACTGCCACAAATGCCAGGGTCATTTCCTGAATCATGTGACAAATCACAATGTAATTGCTTATGAAAAAATACTTTAAGCAAACAGAATTGTTAAAAATGGTTGGCTACTATGCTGGTTGAGCTAGAGGGAATAGAGGATGTACTGTAGCTTCAGCCAACCCTCTACAAAAATATAGTAGGAAAAAACATAAACAAGCACTATAGATTTTTGGGCTGTTTTTAAACAATCAGTATCGACTGTCTGCCAAATTCTGCTTTTAAAATTATCCCAGCTACATTAAATATAGTTACATTCTTTTTAGACTAGAACCACAGAATATCTCCAGTTGGAAGGGACCCATCATGAACAGCGAGTCCAACTCCCTGCTCCTCACGCAACTACCTAAAACTAAACCATATGGTGAAAAGCATTGTTCAGACACCCCTGGCCTCAACAGGCTGGATGCCATGACCCTGGACAGCTTGTTCCAGTGCCTGACCACCTTCTCAGTAAAGAATATTTCCCTAATGTCCAGCCTGAACTTCCCCTGAGGCAGCTTCATTCCTTCCCTCACATTCTATTGCTAGTCACCTGAAAGAGGAGATAAGCAGCTCTGTTCCACTGCCCCCTCAAGGAACCTGTAGACCCCAGTGAGATCTTTCTCAGCCCTCTCCAAACTGACCAAAACATATTCAGCTACTCCTCCTGAGTCTTGCCCTTGAGGCCTTTCACCATTGCTGGTCACTTTCATCACACCCTAAAGCTGATGTCCTCACAGAGAGGCACCAAAATAATTTTACCGGGCACTGACGTGAGACCAGCAGGCATGTAATAACAAGGACCTCCCTTCTCCCAAATGGAACATCATCTGCCAGCTCCCACTCCACTGGGACCTCTCCTGCCTCCCAAGTCAGTTGAGAAATAATGGAGAATGGGCCCACAAGAACACTGCCCAACTCCTGGTAACTAAAAGCAGAATCCAGGTCCTGACAACAACAAATATTCTGAATGCAGTGTTGTCTGTGTATATATATTCTGCATCAGTATTGTCTGACAGTGAGGAACACAAGGCACCAGTGGCTGCTGGGCCTTGCAGAGAAAGCAGCAGCTCCTCTGGAATCTGTGGATGGTACATGGCACCAGTGAATGGAACTCCCCCCATGGGACACAAGGAGGGGCTCTGCAGGTGACAGTGACAGACATCAGGGGCACTGCACAGCCCCTGCACAGCTCTGCATCCCCAGCTGCTGAGCTCTGCATTCCAGACCCCTCTGACTGCTCTGAGTGCCTCTGTGCCACTGTTCAACTCTCTTTCAAACCATGGCCCAGAACTGCTGGGTGTGAACCTGAAGGGAGTGACAGACTCAGGATCAGCCTAAAGCTTTCTTCACACACAAGATGTTTACTTTAATTCAGAAGACTTGAAAAAGAAGTTAAAGACCCTTATTCACTCCTCCAGTAGACATTTTCATGTATGACAATAAATTATTAAAATGAGGTTCTACAACAGGTTGTCTAATGCTGGAAAACAATTAGTATTTTAATAATGCTGTCTAATCTGTCAGCAGTTATCTGAGATTTTAAGCAAGTAAAGCAGTCAAAAAACCCCTTTTTCTGATATGTTGAAAGAAATTATGGTTTGCTCATTTCACTTATCAGGCAATTGACTGTAGTAGCAGTTTCATTGTTGTGAACTTAATTACACTAAACATAAGGCTTTTTGTGGGGTTTTTTGGGAGGAGTGGGGTGAACTTTAGGTGTTTTTTGTTTGGTTTTGTGTTCCATGCCATCGCTCCAAGCAAAATCATGCAGCAGGAAGAAAACGTGTGCTATACAGAATTTTTGTTTAATGAAAAAATATGCTCCTTATTTGCTGAGGTGCACAGAAATGATCCATTGCATTATTACTCTTGCCCTCAGCTATCTCCAGATACACTTTTTGAAAATAAGATAACAAGGTGTACAGCTGGAATGAATTAAAAGGAGACTGGGGCTCTGCACTTGGAAATTCAGCTGGCTTCTGTAAATCCTTCCTCCCTACTTTAACCTTCAGAATAAAATGTTTCCATTACTTAGAGCTACTCCACAGTAGTTAGGTTCCTATAAGAATCCAGAATTCCAAACATTCATTGAGACCCAAAATTTTTATCTCCTTGAAGAAGACAAATGGTCAAAATTTCCTTATAACCTAAGATTTTAAAAAATCCTATTTCTCCATGCATGACTAAATAACGAGTTCAGCAGTCATTTTACACTGCAGGCTTATAGAAATAAATAGCTTTAAACCATTCCTACAGACATTCATACAGACTCCTCTACCCTCCACAACCTAAGGACAATATTATGGGCAGAGTTTTTGCTGCTAATTCTGAAATACCTTGGCTGCCACACACTAAGGGGCCCTCAAGAACCTCAAGAAAAACCAAACTAAACTGGTATGAAATAAAATATTAAAGTCTTGTCCCCACTCCTGGGAATACCCTGACACAGTTTCACTAGAACACTGGCTGTGGAAGCAGTGCATGGCTTGCATGTCTCACACCTCAGGATTAGGGAAACCTGCACTGCACAGGACATAACCCAGAGGTTTCTCTGAGGATGCAGAGCTCTGAGGGGCCTCCATGGCAATGCAGCAGCAGCCCCACCATGCACCATCTGCCCAAACAAATCCAACAAGAGCAAGTAATCCCTGTTAACCACAGCTCTGAACACCCACCACAGCCAGAAATCCCTCTGTGAGAAGGCAGAGCTAAACCAGCTGTGAACATGCAGAGTTATCAGCCCAGATCTGCAGGAACTGACAGGCCATGGTACTGAACAGGCAGCCCTCACTCCTGCTTAGGGGATTCACTCATCCCTGTGCAGAGCCTCTTCTAAGCCTGCACTGCTCTTGGGGAACAAAGGAACCATGAATGTCACATCCAGGGGAGTTCACCATTACATCTGCAGGAGCACTTACCAGGAAGGAGCATTACAAGAACAGGGCTGTGTGTGGTATCCCAGTGCATACCTGGTTAGCTTTATTGTTTTCCTGAATTCATTAGTAATTGGAGCTTTGTAGCCTCCTTTCCTCAACAAGGAATCTATGGTTTGAATGTGGTCCCATCCTGTTGAATTTCACAGTAGCACAAATTAGTGAGAAATGAAGCAATAGGAAGAGATATTGCAAAAGCACAGTACAGTGTGTGGTGCTGTTGGGGGTGCAAGGGCTCTGCTGGCATCTGGGATAAACCAAAACATTCTTCCCTACTTCAGGACAGCTGAAGGAAATACCACATTCAGGATTTCTTTACACACACAGCTCACTCTACAAACAACATATATTTCTCATCTCATAGCTGAAATACATTAAAAGTGAACCTACTCTACCCAAATGTCCTAAAATGGGTGTGTGATACAAAACAAAAAAACTTTTCCAAAGCATTCTGGTATGATCATGTATCACAGCCACTTCTGACGTTATAAATGGTTATAACAATATGGAAAACTAAACTTATGTATAATATTTAAAATAATAATTAGTTGAACATGTGAAGAGAACTTGAAATCAGACTTCTTCATAAACATCACCTTACTTTACAGAGATATGGCTGACTTTAGAACAACTATATATTATAGGTGTCTAGATAATGCAAGAAGCAATGGATTTAAAATACAGATTCATTACTGTGCTCAATAAAATCTTCATGCTATCCCAAACCTCCTATTTATTTAAAAGACTCTCATATTATAAATAGCTGTTAGACATATTATTTCCTAAAGACACAATAATTAGTCACACTGTTACATTAAAAAACCTGCAAAAAACACAGTAGAATTGAGCACATACAAAATTCAAATAAGTAGTTCTGGAGATTTTAAAGAATCAGATTGCAATTCATGGTCTACTAAAACTACTCATAAATTTAGACACATTTCCTCCACAATTCCTGAATTTTAAAAAAAGCTTAGAATACTCCTAGACTTTTATGAGACTATCTGGAAACAGAATTATCAATTAAAAAGAATTCTTGGTAAAGGTATCAGCTGAACTCTTTGTAGATAAACTTATATATAAAAAGGTAAAAAAAAAGCAGCAGAAATACAAACTATAAACAATTGAGACACACTATCAACCTTGGAAATAAAAAAAAAGGGAGTGTTCAGAGTCAGAAAAAGACCGTTCAACAAAATCTACTCTAGTTTTTTAAATTCACAAACTTAAGTCTGTGCCTCTCTTAAAAGGACTTTTAACAACATTCTTTTGTACTTCCATATTGAAAATACTTTCCTTCCATCCATTAAAAACCCTGGGAAGTCAGTGTTTGTAACATGAATTAGCAGAAAGTACCTAACTGAAAAACAACTTGATCATCAGGAATTCAGGAATAAATAATGATTAAGATAACTGCCCAGCCATCCCAATGCTAAACAGAGCTTCTGCATCTCCCTCATATCCCAGCCTAGCAGCCACACAAAAATTGGCAGCTTTTAACAGCTGTTGGCCTGACTGACTGCACTGTACCATTCCTCCACATTTTATTTCTCTACAGCTCCATGCATTTATGACTGGCTCAAAAATCAGCTACAGTTTACTGAAGCCCACTAGGAGACTGACACAGGCATGTAATTGGCATTTCATATACGAGTCTTCTTACAATTAAACACTGCTCCATCATGTCACATCAGTGCAAGGTCAAACACTGCATTTTAGATTTACAGGAATGTTAAACTCTTCACCAGATCATAGGAAATAAAGTGCAACAATGACCTTGCTCCTTGGCAACCTCGGGCAGGTAGGTGGCCGTGCGCTTTGATCCTTTCTCGTTGATGAACTCTATTCTAATGCCATGCACACCCACCTGCAAGAGATTGGCACCCATTAGTACATCACACAGAGACAGCCTGGGAACTGGCATGGTGAAACCCAGAACAGTGGTTAACAGCATTTCACAGAGTTTCAAGGAGGAGGCCCTGCAGCGGGTGGCTTGCTTTGGAGAGGTGTTCACTTACTGCCATGAAAGCTCAGCAGCAGCACAGGTACACAGGATGTTCCTCTGCTCCTCACCACAGAGCTTCATTCCTGGGCTGGAGGAAATCCAGCTGAGGAGCTAAAGTTGTTCTGTCTCCTCTGACACTGTCACCATTGTTGTTGCTGATAAAATCACCTGGTCACCAGCTATAATCTGCAGGCAAAATAGCTGCCAAATCTAATGGGGCTTCAATTAAGAGCATTAATTTTGTTCAAAGCAGCAACTGAACAATCAAAGATTTGTCACACTATGGACTCGAGCCTGGAGCCATCAAAATTTTACCTCATGTATGAGGAGGAAATGGAAATATTACAAAGTACCCAGCCTCAAACTCCTGTTTCTGACCTACTAAGAACTGCAAGGTGACAAAATGACAGCACAGAAACCAGTATTACTAATACCAAAGAGTTGGATGCAGATAAAAATCAAAATGCCAAAAATATTGGGAGAAAAAGAACCAAGAGGCTGGGCACATTTCCAGGGCATTGTTTAAGGCCCCTGTTTTCAGGTTACAGTAATTCTGTGGAGAGTACCTGCACTGGGATCAGGCCATAAAAGATATTCCATTGCCAGAAGGTTTTCAGCTGCTTTTGAATTCTGTGCACAAACACAAAGCATTATTAGATGGACATTTTTATGCCCACATAACCAAGATGTTATTTCCATTTGAATCTCAACGCTGCATGTGAAAATGAGTCAATGTTTTAAAAGGATATCACGTTGTTTGGTGTGGCACATCCTTGAGGACACAAGTTTAATTGAAAAATGCTGTAAAATTTTATCCAGTAACAATTTACTTACTTTATCATAACTGCAGGGAAGTCAAAAACCAAACAAGGAATATTTACAAAGCTCTACCACTTCTTCAATTAACATATTTGCTTATATTAAGACTTTGATTTTTAAACTTTTCACTCTTTATATATGATATGAGCAGGGGAAATGGGAGGAAGAGTCCCTTGTAGTTGGCCATGGCCATAACCATTCTTCCCTATGAATCTAACACTGTTCATAAATAGGAAAAATGTAACTTTGTGACTAACAAATTTAATTCACTGCAACTTTTAACATATTATTTCATTACCAAACATTCCTAAACCCCAACTTTCATTACATTGATTTGTATAATCACCAGAGAGATTAAATCTGTTTACTCAGAAGATACAATTATAAGCCCAAAGGCCTGAAAGTAAAATGAAATTGTTAGAAGCTGAAAACAGCCTACAGAGTTAATGCCCAAACCAGTAAGTTTCTGCAGCTGGTGATTTTGTAACTGTGTAAGATTAAATATTTCCAGGGTTTGCACACCTTTAAATCCTGCAGAATATAAGATTCTAAATGCTACACAATGCTTTGCATAATAACCAGGAGCACTTAGTGATGCATTGAAGTATGATGCAACATTCAAGTTGCATCAATGCTCTGGATGGTTCCCATTAACCAATTTAATGGACTTTTAGGCCCATGTCTGTAGAAAAAGGGATGTACAGCAGGGGAGAATTTCATAGCATCCTGTGGAGCATGAATTCCAACTGTGTAGCTGGGCAGGACAAACAGCTTTTCATTGTTCAATTCCAGCTAGCAGGCTTGAGTTAAATAAATGGAAGCCACACACAAAGTAAAAATGATCCACACTAAGACTGGCATGGGCACAGTGTGGAATTTATTTTCCTCAAGAGACTGGTGTTCAACTGATGCAAACTTTTGTGAGATTTCCCAAAATAGCCCTCTCCAAGATGGGAGGTAGGGGCTGGGTCTGTGGACGGCATTAGCTGCCCTGCTACCAGGACCAGCAAACACCTTCCTACACAGCCTCAGGTCTGCTGCTCAGACTAAAAATACTGATGCACTACAGGCAGCATTCTGCAGAACAGCAGCAGCTGTCTGTGAAGTTTAGAAAAACAAACCAATCTTGTGCAGACAGAGCTGGAGTTCTGCCTCACCTATTACCATTCATTAGGGAAACAAATGCCTACAGGTACCTCTGCAGCTGAAAAGGGACCACACAATTGCTGCTTCAGCCTCCCACGTGGATAGGAACCTATTTAAATTGTTGCTATTGGGAGAGGAAAGCAAGATAAGGAGAGAGACAGGCAAAAAACAATCCCTGACAACAGAAATATTTCTATGGAGTTTTAGAGCATGAAATACTGTGTTCTATCTGATCAGTTGTGTAAGTGGCCAGAGGCCATCTAAAATTAGGTTCTGTGACAATATCAATTAAATTAATAGATCTTTCATTACATCTAAGGATTGCATTAAACTACATTATTTTACTTCTGAAATTACCTTTACAAAACTTAAGACTTTGTTGTGTATTTAAACACATTCATATTCATTTATACACATTATTCTTTACTCCCATACACCTTGGGATAAGAGAAAACATGTACATGTCATATTTATTGTTTTGCCAGGTGCCAAAGGCACTAGCCAGATTACTGCCCACAATACCTCTCTCTTTATATATCTAAGAAAAAATGGTTCCAAAGCCTCCTCTGACAGCAAAGCTGAAGCACCTCTCCTGATGGACTGTTCTGCCCCAAGGCTCCAAAAACAGTTGATTAATTTGTTCCTTTTGGACTGACTCTCCAACCACACTGAGAGGAAGAAATAACATTATTCTCATTAGACTGTCCATGGGGAATTTGGATAAGCACCTCAACATCAGGCCTTGTTGACATTTCAGTTTCTGTGGACTCCTCTGTGGAGTAAATTATCATCCAAATAATGGTTCTGCTCGCTTATATCTACTGCACTGAAATCTGTAAGCTATTTGCATGCAATCACCACTAATTAGTTTAAGATTAATTAATTGTAAACCAGTTGTTCAGAAATACATTAAAGCAGGTAACAAAGAGCCTGTTACAGAGAATCCACATGGAATGCTCCAGAGCTGGAGCAGTGCAACACCCCCTTGGTGACAGGAACAAGCATCTGCCTGTTCCTTTTGCCCACTCCCTTTCTGTGTTCTGCACCCCAGGCCTCCTGCACAGCCCGTGCCCACGTGCCAGTGGCACTGTGACACCCTGCTCTGGGTTAGGGATAGCCTTTCTTTTGCCAGCTCAGTCTCTGCACCAAACTAGAAAAAAGCTTTTTTCCTTTTTTTCCAACAAAAAAAGCTGACCTAGAACTTGCACAGTATTCCTTGTGATACCACAGAACAGTAACTTTCCCCTTTATTTACCTGACTAATACTATGGAAATAGCAGTACACAAATGTTTTGGAAATGCAAACCTTCAGATTAAGTGACTATTGCTACTTTCTTGAAGCTGATCCCACTTGGCATTAGCTCAACTCCACAGCTTTTTAGCCCCACATTTGCAGTAAATATGCTGGCTTCTTTCTGACCATCTTTAGTAGCATCTAAATACTATGTTCTGATTTAACAACAGGGGAAAAAGACTCCTCAGGAGCTTTGTTCTCTACTTCATGTCAAGCATAATCATTCATTCACATACATGGAATCACTGAATATTGTCCAAAGAGAATAACATACTGATATCCAGACTTTCTTCTCAGTTCTACAGAACAGAAGCTGAGAGCCACTGGTGTTGCTGCACTTGCAGGCAGGAAAGAACTTCCACAACTCTTGAATATACCCACTTTGTCAACAATGAAAAGCTGCCTTTCAGGCAACATTATTGGCTACAGCTATTTAAGTTAATATTTAAACCAGTGCACACAGGTTAAAGGCCTTTTGTATCAAGACAGCATGTACAATTCTGCAGATTTTACTTGACTGAAGAACAGCAACGTTGGGGCCAAGAGCTCTCTCAAGGTATTTTAAGGAAGAGCTACTGCTCTAGTCTAGCAAAAAAGTTCTTTGTTATAATTACATACAATTGCAATGCTTTAGGATCTCCTAATAAAAAATGAGGAGAGGATCAGAATCAGCAGTTCTGAATTAGTTCATGTAGGGAAGGAATGACTGCTGTCAATAGCACATGTTTAAAAATAAATGGTGTTTATGACTTGTCTTGTAACTAGTCCTTTGCTGTCTCATCTTTAATAAAAGAGCAGTAGTATCACCAAAAACCCCCACATCTTTGAGTTTTTCCTGCTGTCCATTTCTCTGAGGTGGAAAGGCTGTGCAACTGTGCAGCTCCATCCCAGCAGCACCTGGGCCACACTGGTCTGTCATGGGCTCTGAGAAGCAGAACTGGAGATGCAGCTCTTACACTCCCAGTGTTCCTTTCCAAGCCCTACATCTGCTCAGCACTGCAACTCAGACAAAGTCACAGGTATGCAAGAATGCTAAGTTGTATTTCAGGAAGCATCCTTGTGAACATGGCATTGAAGTGGTCCTTTAAAGATGTGTACTTTCCTCTAATTACTTTTATAAAAGATGAAAATGCAGTCATATGAGAAGTCATGTGGGAACTAACAGCAGTGAACTCACACAGATCTCTGTGTGAATCTCTGTTTACTTGATGGAAGTTTCTGCCACTAAAGGGTTTCACATTGCTTTTTACAGCTGAAATATTCATTTATTTTGTTTGGGAAGGTAATTTTTTAATGTGAGAAAACATCCATCACTCTGCTTCAGCACAGAGAAGACACTCCTGAGCTGTCTCAGACAGCTTCACTCCTGACTTCAGATGACATTGTCTCCAAGTCTCTCCAAGCACTGACTTGTCTGAATTGGTAATTTTGAAATATTGTGACCTGTGTCAGCAAATTGCTGACCTGTCTCCCACAAGATCATCAGTAGCACACCTACAAAAGCAGGGACTCCTACCTAGGCTGATGTTTTTCAGGATGATCCCAGCATGACAGATGACAGATGCAGACCCTTTACATCATACTCTAGACATCCTGAAATGTCCTTTTGCCATTAATATTGCGTAACTGCAGCTCTCTTAAAAGACACATGGGTGACATAAGCTATCCCACTGCCAGGCACACACAGTGATGAATCACTCTTTTAAGGACTAACAACCACAAATTTTATAATCTCATATTTATATGTCACCCTCCTCCTCTGGATCCTTTTGTATGGAAACCAAGTTTGGGACCATTTCTTACAATTGTAGGAATTTATGAAGGGTTTTAACAACTCATCACTAGAAAACCTTAAATGAAATAGGAGAGAGCAACTAAGCAACACAAAGCCTTTTATATTTTTGACCCCTGCATTCTTCCCTTGTAAGTCAGGGGTTTCCAATAAGAACAACTGTAAGAATCCATAAGATCAATCAGAATTCAGAAACACTAGAGTTCAGCACTATGCTTACTTACACTGTTGTTAAAGTCCCACAAGTTCTGCAGAAAAATATAGAAAGTGCATAGAAAGTAAAAGCCTCTTTTTTTCCTATTAGTTATGAATCAGCAGTTGCCCAAGGAACAAAGGTAAAACCAGTCTTTCCAAGGGAAAGTGGATTTTTGAATTCGGGCTTTGCTTTCAGCTTTTCTCTAAGGAAAAGCTCTTGAATGTACATTTTTTATCTCTAAATACAACAGAAAGTCTCTTTTCTCCTAAGAAGTTCTAAATATTTAGTCAGGATAAGTTATTATTAAAGGCAAATACTGTAGCTTTTGTGGTGTCTCTGGCATTATAATGTCTGCAATTCTATGACAATTTCAAAATTTTTTATATGTCCACTCAAAAACAGATTCAAAGAGAAATGAGGAATGCAACATGATGACCGAGATGAGCAGTTCATCTTAAGTCAAGTACCTTGTTTTCTGCAAGCATCTAATGCTAAATAATTTGGGTAAAGAACATTACAGACTAACACTTCCATCAGCATACACTGTCATACACACGTCAGCATGTGCTTTTCAATCTCTTTAAGGCTGCTGTTCCAAGAGGATGCATGCAGGTTTCCTAGAACCTGGCAATTAGAGCAGATTCAGCTCCATGCGTAAGCAGCATGAGAGCAGTGATTTCTGTGGCCTCACTGCACAAAGGCCTTGGGAGGGCTGTGCAGGACACTCACTCTGCAAGTAAATCAAGTTTGGGGGAAGATGAAGGTCTCTACAAGCTAAATGAAGCAGCTTGTTCTGGGACTGCAATTTTGTGAATTTTGTTTCTGGAAGTACACATCAGACTGTTAACTTCCATACTGGAATAGCCCTTTCCAGAGCCAAGGGACTGATCTACCAGGTAGATGCTGCAAATGAGACCTCAGGACAGCCTTGCTCAGACAACACCTTCCTTGATGGAGTCTTAGACATCAAGACTCCCATGCAGACCACTCTGAGCGTCTTTGTGGGCAAAAACACAACTTTATTCCATTTGCATGGCTCAGACTCTTGAGGTGACAACAGTTTTATCAAAAAGTGTCTTTTGAATCTATGCACATACCCATGTGTACAGAGTACAAACAGTGACAGCTTCACTAATATATGCAGATCATTTGAACAGTGTTACTTCAGCTACAGATGTTCATTTTCATGAAAGATATCTGATGTTCTTACCTCCCAATCCATGTAGTCACACACATCTTCAAAGTTAGTGAGTAGAGACACTGAGCAGAAAAGCCGTGGCAGCTCATCCCTCGTCATTGGGGGGAAACGACTATCTTTAAGGGCACTGTTGAAGACAAAACAGAATTTCAAAGGATTTTTTTTTTTTACATTTCAAGGATCTAATCTGAAGAGTATAAAGGAGAAAAAAAAATCCTGATGAAATGGTGACCAGTTTGATTACCCAGTCACCAGTGTAACATACTCTCTGATCAACATTTCCAGCTTTTTCCTTAGACATTTGTTTTGGTTCTTGGCTGGCCAATCAGATGATGTTCTGAGGGTCATTCCTTCCTGAACTGGCTTTGCTACTGTGACAATCTTATTATTACAGCAGTAGAAAGCTTTTAAAAAAAGTTACAAAAGCAGTACCTCCTCCACTTGCAACTTGTAAATCCCTTTCAAAAAGGATTAAACTTCTCAACACAAAGTGACGGGGGCAAGTTCTATAGCCTGCAGTGATCAAACACTTAATACCGTAATGAAACTGTAGAACTTAGTTATTCAGTGAAAAAAAAATTCCAAACAAGCAGAATATTTTCTAAAAAAGACGACTAACATTCATGCTTACTAGCAAAGGTGAATATAAAAAGGTGAAAACATCCAAGGGCTCTACAGACCTGTAAACCTACAGGACTTGAAGTTCTGCAAAGCAGATGTCATGATTAGTCACAGGGAAGCTTGCAAACAGCTAATCCATGGATGACATACCATTCTACAGACAGACAGACCTACTGGGGTAAAACCCACACTGAGGGAGCTACCTGTGCACAGGCCAGCAAGCCTGCAAACACACAGCAAGCAACACATGAGTAAGAACACTTGTAAAACCTACCTGCATAAGTTTGGTTAAGAACCAGTTAAATTGGCAAAGGGAGGTTACTGTGAGGATGGCATCTCAATCTTTTATTCTCTTAAGCTTTGAAATATGATGTGAATACAAACATGCCCATCTCCTGCAAAAACAGCGATCTGCTAACTGAGCTTTTGGAGGAGTAAAGAGAATTTAAGAGACTTACTGAAATACTACCGAGCTCTTCACCTGTCTCATTGTTTCATCTAACAATTAGATTGCTCTTAATCGTTTTCCTTGGCCTGGCGCCAGTGGCTGCCCCTTACCTGATGTAATCACAGCCATGGCCAAGGTGCTAGAATAATGGCCACAGGCTTTGCACCAGAATTCACCGTTTTTTATAAAGAGCAACAGAACTTCATTGCATCAGACCACGTAGGGACACGCGAGAAAAAAACCACAACGTGTAAAGTTTAACTAAAGGAAATCATCATATGCATAATCAGAAATGGTTTCCCATCAAGAACTAATACCATAAACAGAGTTAAAGAGAGAACCTACATTATTCTGTGGTGGGGGGTGAAAGTAATTTTTTTATTGCAGATATTATGAAATACAACATAGTATTGAAATTCAGGACTCCAAAGTCCTTTTCTACACAGACCTGTGAGGAACTGGGAACATTAAAGAGATTTAAAGCAAAAAGCCTATGATATATAACTAATGACTTCCACTGAAGATGTATCAAAAGCAGGTAATGCTGATGGGATTTTCCAGGCCAGCTTTGAAACTGCTGGAACCAGGCAGAGTTACCATCCTCTGCTCTCTGGTGTTCAGAGCAACATCAGAAATAACTCCTATAGCCACAGCATACCAACAACATCCCAAAATATCAATAACCTAATTCAGCTTTCCAATCCCCCCACATGGTGGTGAAAATAAATAAACATACATACATGAAAGGGGGAGCACTCAGAACACAGGGACAGCTCAAACCAAAAGTCCATCTAGCTTTAAGTCTATCTAGTATTAAGTCCTTACCAAGAGCAGCTGGCAAAATGAGTGAGTACAAGAACATGGTCACAGCAAATGTCCAGGGGTACCTTCCTAGAACACTCTCTAGGAATCCAGTTATTTATAGCTTAGGTATTTTGAGTCAGAGATGGGATCACTGTACTTTAAAGCTCTACTGAATTTCATTTTGTAAGTTCATGTATACACACTTATAACATTTTACTCCCCATTTTAATAAAAATTTATTATTGGAACCCCATATCCTCTTCAAATACATTGCTACTACAGGTTTGCTTATTTGCAGATGGCTCATTTCCCTGAGGTCTCCTGTCATATAACCAATCTATGTGAACACTCTAGTGAGAAGCACTGAGACAGACAAGCATTATTTCATCAACAAACAACAAATTCAGTTATCCTCACAAACAATTGTAGGCACAGATACTGTTAATATTACTTTACATCTGTTTCTTGAAATTTATGCAACCACCTTACCAAGCAAAACATTTTCCCTAATGCAAGAATTTAAAACCTTCAAAAGATTTTTTTTCTTTTTTGCACAACTTGGTACTAGGAGTTTGTCTTTGAATTCCAACTCCTATAGCTGCCAAAATCTACTGTAAATTTCAACTTTTTGAGGCAAAGGTTGTCTGTGTGCTGTGGATGTAAGCCTGATCCCCACAAAGGTAGCAGCAGAAGTCTCCAGCAAATTCCCACTCACTGAAGATCTGCTGCACTGGCATTGCTAGATGATAAACCATCTGTAATTTAACATTCTTCAAGTTGTGCAGAAACAAACCCCATCCCATGCTCGTGTAAGCCATGTCTCACAGAACCACAGAATATCCTAAACTGGAAGGGGCACATCAGGATCATCAGCTCCTGGCCCTGTGCAGGACACTCCAGCTCAGCTACCCCACCTAAATGGTGAGCTAATAATTTGAAACAATGACATATATAAACACTGATAAAAAGCTGAGATATGAAACTTTCAAGTGAACAGTGGGAGCAGGAAGGCTCACAAAGGTGAAAAAGCCTCAGGCACACAGAGGCAGCCAAGTGGTTCAGTTCCAGAGAAAGCAGTGCCATGCAGTGCCCAGCTCAGCTGCCTTGCTCCCTTCTTCAGCAATGACACTGGCACAAATACCCTGTCTTCATGTAACCACCTCACAAGAACTAAAATATTGCTATCAAATGATGGAGCCATTTCAATTATAACTAACTCCTGCTGAACTGCCAGGTGCTATTCCATCTGTACAGCATGCTGGAAAATTTCTCCTCAACACCTCCACAGCTACAGACACTGGTGCACAGATCCTGCCTCAAAACTCCTGCTGCTGGAGGTAAGTGAGGCAGAGTAAGACCAGAGATTTGAGTAACAGCCTCTGACACCACTGTGACTACTCTACAAAGATATTGCTGTGATTTTAATCCTCCTTGGCTTCTCTTCAGACCCTTTCCAGCTTTCAAAACAGCTTTGCCTCTGTTGTTTCATAAGTAAAACATAAATTTACCTGGAGAAACTTGTGTTGACAATCAGGAACTGGAATAAAAGCTACTGAAGGGAAATGCCAACAAGAAAGCATATACTGATTAGCTACACATGAAATACTGTCTCCTAACAAAATTTATGAAACAAAAATTTTACCAGGTGCCAGCTTTAGAAGAACTATCTTAAAACTTTGCAACCTTTTCCTAATGAGTTTGGACATCACATACTACTAAAAAACCAGGACCTGTTTTATCATGCTCTATATCACAGTTAGAATACCAGTCATCTTCTCAAGCATTCTATTATTGCTACCATGGTCCAAACTCTACAGTAAGTTCCAGATACCTTTGCAAAGCCTAAAAGCACACTAGCTTAGTAAAACCTCTTCACAGATGAACTGCTTTCATTTTTGCATTTCCCAATGCCTGGCTAGCAGGAGACATATGGCATTAGACATGATTCTCTTCAGAACTCAGCCACAGTCCTTGAGTTTAAACTTCATCTCTGTGGGTAGTGAAGAAATCACCACCTATGACTGTTCTGATGGGGCCAGTGGAAGAAGTGGATGGTGCCCAGTGGTTCCTCAAGGGCAGCTTTCACTTTATACAAGTCTCAGCTGTCAATAGTTGACAGACTGGCATCACTCTCAGAAGTGTCAGCAGACGTCAATGCAGTCAGCAAGGAAAAAAATCCTTGCATGAGCTTTTACTTTTGCCATTCCTGTTTGGGCACTAAAGAGAAACAGTTTCTACAGGCAGCAGTTTAGCCCTTACCATCCAACTCAGCCACTACACAAACATCAATGGATGGAAATTCAGACCTGGGCCTCACCTGCCATGTCACTGCACTTGCCATGTGCCTGTTGGTAACCAACTCCCAGCAAGCACAAAACAAGACAAGGCAATGCCTGCTTTCCTCAAAAGCTTGTCACTGGTCTGAACTCAGAATAAAAAAAGTCACCATGTAACTGTGGGTCATCAACATTCTTATCTGGCACAGGAGAATTTGTATGTGTCTGTACATTTATAGCCTTAGAATTCTTCTGTTAGAAAAATGAACGAAATCTGGCATGTTAAATACCACATTTAAAAAATATTTACTCCACAATTTTTATGTTAAACTTAGAATTAAGGAAGGGTAATTGGAAATAGTCAGCAAAAGAAGTTGGAAAAATTAGGTGGCATTCAAAACTACTTTTAAAGAAAAAGCCCAATAATTGTAAAAGCATTTCCTAGACCATCTGTTCTTTATTCCTTCATGCCCAGAAATAGATTACATATATTGCTGCTGACTAAATGGAAGTACATAGTACTGAAAAGAGGTAGTGCCAAGCAAGGGGAATTCTAGCTGGCCAATAAAAGGGCATTCATTTTTCCACACAGAGTCTGCTCCATGTAAAAAGTCAGAATTGAATCCTGTTCAAGGAAAACTATTTTTAGATACCAGATGCATGCACGCATATGCATGGCCTTTCTAGTTAAATATTTATGCAGCCCTGGATGTCCTAAGATCAAGTAATTGCCAGTTAGGAAAAAAGCCAAAACAAAGTGTTACTCAACTATCAGTTTTTCTTCAGCTGAGGCGTACTATACAAATCTCAGCTTTTCTTCAAATGAAGTTTATTTGGCTATAGGGAATGTTTATCAGTAATTTCATTTTCCAAGGACCACTCGTCTTTGTATATGGGATACAGGAAAGCTTGCAAACACTTCAAAGACACTGAAAGTATAAAAAGAAAAGGGAATTGTTTGAAGTATGAGTTGCTGTG